ATTTCCCAACCTTTTTTAAATTGTGATTCCAATTTTCAAGGGAGGAGAGAAGGAGTTACCTTCTAACTATCGCCCAATATCATTGCTGCCTACGCTAAGCAAGATAGTTGAAAAGCTCATGAAGGAGCGGATGGTGGTTTTCCTGGAGCAGAATGGGCTATTATCTTGCAATCAGTTTGGATTCCAATCTTCGAAAAGTACGAGTGATGCAATTTTCAACGTCCTGGAGCAGGTATACCTCAGACTTAATGATGGTGAGAAGGCTGCGGCGGTGTTTTGTGACTTGACAAAAGCTTTTGACTGCGTCAGTCACGATATACTGCTGCGCAAGCTTGAACTCTGTGGTTTTAGGGGTGTTGTCCTGAGGTGGTTTGGTTCTTATTTGTCTCAGAGAAGTCAGAGTGTTGTCTCTCGGAGTAGCGTTTCCGGTAGCCTAAGTGTTAGCTCCGGCGTTCCGTAAGGGTCTGTTTTGGGGCCATTGTTGTTTTTACTATATGTTAATGATCTTCCTGCAGCTGTGAAGAGTGGTCTATGCACTTCCTTTGCATCATAAAGACACTGCCATGCTGAATGCTATGGTGAACGATGACTTAGCGAGAATCAAAATGTGGTGTGACTCCAATCGGCTGTCATTTAATATTCAAAAGACATCCATCATAAATTTTAAATGTAATTTTGGTAATGTTTTTCTAGATGATACTGTTATAGGCAGAAGCATGGGGCCGTAATTTCAGAAAGTCACACGAAAGAACAACAGGAAAAGGTAAAGACCATTCTAAAACAGATAAGTGATTTGGAAGTTAGAGAAATGTTGTCTAGTGACCCAATGATCATACTAACTGGGATTGAGGCTGGATACGAAAATCCACAGTTTATTCAAGAGCTACTACTCCAGAATCCAGACATATTGGAGGCATTTGGACATAAAGTAGAAGAAAAATTCAAATTTATAGCCAAAAAAAATTGTAGGAACCCATTAAGGGAGAATTGGATATTCCAAACAGCACCAGATGTTTTCAGATATTTGATGAGATCTGTGGAACTACATCCTTTAACCTAACCAAAGTATATGTGGAAGAGTACCTAAGGGTGGCTATGTGCTTAAAGTGTTGTGGATTTGGGCATGTATGCAAATACTGTAAAGAGACAAAATCAACTTGCCCAAAATGTGGAGAAGATCATTCCTCGCAAGTTTGTAATAATGAAAACCCACTTGATTGTCCTAACTGTAAAAAGCTAAACATAAAAGAAAGGCAACACTCTGCGCGTCATTTTGAATGTCCAGTATATCAGATGAAACTGGAGAGGCACAGACAACTAGTAAACTACAATGGCTAACAATATCAATCCCAACGTTTTGAGTATCTACTACCAGAACATACGGGGCCTAAGGACTAAGACTAACGAATTTTACACTAGTGTACAAAATTCGGAATACGATATTATTTCATTAACGGAAACTTGGCTGGAGGGTAGCATCTATGACTAGCAGTAAATACAAAGTGTTTCGAGCCGACTGCGACCAAGCAGCTACCCGGAAAAACAGAGGGGGTGGTGTTTTGAGTGCGATCATGGGTAGCATTAAAGCATTGGACATGAGTACAAAATCTCCATTAGCTAATGTCGACGATGTAAGTTGTGTCAAGCTCATGTCGGACCATAAATCGTTACTCTTGATAACTTTGTATATACCACCAGCTCAGTCAATTACGGTATATGAGACACTGTTTTCTTGCCTGGAAAATTTGATATTCGATAAAGCTCTAGATTTCTTAATATTGGGAGATTTTAATATCGACCAAGCAAATCAAAACTTGAAATCAATATTGGTAAATTTTTGTAACATTACAGGGGCCAAGCAATGTAATTCGATATCAAACTCTTTAGGCAGGATTTTAGATCTGGTAATTTGTAACTTGCCATGTAAAGTAACAAGATGTACTGAGCCTTTTATAAAAGATAAAGAAGATCCCTTTCACCCAACTCTTGAAATAGAACTAACCGTGCGTTCGTTATTTTGGTCCGAGTTCTCCGAGCTTGACTTTACGGTTCGTTTATTTAAAAAGTGTACTCGGTGCAGCCTCATTCGCGTTCGTTTATTAAAATTTCTGGCATATTTAAACAGCGTTCAACTGCTCTGTGCGCTCACTGGTCACGTGACTACGGCTCCGCTCAGCACGCTCTGCTTTTTGAGCAAAATACCGAACGCAAGGTAAGTATAAACAATAGCTTTGAAACATGCCCTCAAAATGCAAACTTTTACTACAATTTCAAAAAAGCAAACTTTTTCGGATTATATTCAACTCTTCGCGACATTGCTTAGAAAATGTAACTGAAGTGGACCAAGCAGTTGACATATTCTATGAACATTTGTACACTACCATTGACACATTTGTTCCAAAAAATGTGAACAAAAAAAATAAATATCCTCCATGGTTCAATGCTGAAATCATATTGGACATCCGAGCAAAAAAACGTAATCATAGATTATACAAAAAAACAAAATTGCCGCAATGCTTGACCGATTTTAAGTTCTTAAGAACAAAAATCAAAAAAGATATCAAGATAGCGTACAGACAATACATTCAAAATGTTGAGCTAAATTTGCAACAGGATCCAAAAAAGTTTTGGAGTTTTGTGAAATCAAAGAAAAAAAATTCAAATGACTTCCCCTGTGAAATGATTCGGGAAAACGACACATATATAGGGGGTCTCAACATTTTGAATCTGTCTATCAACCTTCCCAAAATACAACAAGAACCCAATTTATTGATACCCTAAATTTTGAATCTCTTCTTACTCTTCCTACTATAACTCGAAAAAACGTTGAGGAAGCTATATCTAAATTAAAAAACAAAAAATCAGTTGGTCCTGACAAAATACCAAGATACCTACTGAAAGGGTGCAAAGATGTACTTTCCGAACCCTTAGCTAAAATCTTTAACTTGGCCATCACCAGCAAGAAGTTTCCTAAGCAATTCAAAATAGCCCGTATATCACCAATCTACAAATCAGGTCCTAGAAATAACATTGAAAATTATAGACCAATTGCTATTCTGTCAAGCGTTAGTATAGTTTTCGAATCCATACTAAAGCAATAATAAACCATGTAGAACCTAAACTGTCAGAACTGCAATTTGAATTTCGGAAAAATAGATCGGTAATGGGGAACTTGCTGGATTTTGTAACATATTCCACAGAAGTCCTAGCTGATGGTAACCAAATTGATGCGATTTATACAGATTTTGCTAAGGCATTTGACAAAGTGGACTACAACATTCTAGTTCAAAAACTTACATCCTTTTCAATCTCATCAGACCTTTGTCAGCTGATCAGATCATATCTTTCATATAGAAACCAATTTGTATGTGTAAAAAATTATGAATCAAACACTTACACAGCCACTTCGGGAGTCCCACAAGGTTCCGCCTTGGGGCCTCTCTTATTCCTCTTATTAATAAATGATATCACAAGTACCTACTATCAAATCCTGTAAAATTCTTTTGTTTGCTGATGATACGAATCTTTTGCATTTCAATATAAAAAAATGTAAACAAAATGTCATACACATATTCTAAAAAAACCATCGGATTTAAATACACTATGAATAACAAGGAACTGGAATCGGTAACTACTACTAAAGATCTAGGAATAATCTTTGATAAAAGGCTTATGTTTAATGAACACATAAACTATATTATAAGTGCCTCATGTAAAAAATTGGAGTTCTTCCTAAGAAACTCTAGAGATTTTGTGAATGATAAGACATTAATTGTATTATACAACAGCTTTGTGAGGTCACAGCTAGAGTATTGCAGTGTAGTGTGGTCACCATTCTATACTAAATACATACAGGCAATAGAAAACATTCAAAAAAGATTTGTTCGGCTCTCAGATATATTGCTTCATAGAATTCACGTCAGCAATTATCCATTAAATATGATCTCCCTATTTAATAGAAGAAAATATTTTAGCTTAATATATCTGTACAAAATATTTAACGGCCATGTATTTGACTCTACTACACTGCAACATATCGGCTTGCAAGTCCCCTTGCATACTCGCAATAGGAACAATAGAACTTTTTATGTACCTTACTATAGAACCAATTACCAAGGCAGCGCCTCTCTAAGAACAATGCTATTAAATTACAATGAACATCAAAATCTTTTAGATATATTTGGAGACTCACTCATGAAATTCAAAAGAAAAACTAAAGACCTGTTTTTAGGAAATGAGTAGCATTAAAATTACACAATACAGCTAAAAGCACCTTCCGTAATATTTAGCATTCTCCAACTAGTCCTAGTTTTTTTTCTTGTAAGTTAAAACCTTAATTTTAGTTTAGTTTAGAGCTTAAACACAACTGTTAGAAGGGTTTATCCACATGTATTAGTTGTTTCAATAAATAATGATGATCAGCTCAGGTTTGACAAACACACTGAGCATTTATGTAAAAAAATATCATCAGCATGCTTTGCTGTTAGAACTGTCAAGGCTGAGCTGGGCGAATCGGTTGCTAGACGGGTGTATTTTTCTTTGATCGAGTCACATCTTAGTTATGGCATTTGCTTCTGGGGTTCTTGCTCATTAACATTGTTCAACGTCATATTTCTTCTCCAGAAACGTGCTATAAGGTCGTTATGTGGTCTTAGTCCACGGAACTCTTGCAGACCATTCTTTATAGACAGACCTATCTTGCCTCGTATCTTGATTTTAGAATCGGTGTGTCTCATGCAGAAGAAGTACTCCTCTAATATTCATGCTCCCTCCTTGGTCAATACCAGAAGTTCACATGTAATTGATCTACCAATTCCCACATCCTTGCTAACACAAAAATCTATTCACTGTAGGAGTAAGAAAATGTTTAATCACCTACCTCATAGCATAAGAACAATAAAGGAGAGTAGATGTTTCAAGAGACAAGTCAAAAAATTACTTCTGGCTAAGGGTTTTTACTCTGTAGAGGAATACTTCTCATCTCATCTGTTTAATGGTCAATAATTTTAAGTTTGTTTTTAATTTTAATGTTGAGCAGTCTTTCGATCTATTTTATCCAGTTGTTTTTATTCCTGTTTATTATCTTTATTTTTACATACCTACTTTGTTGATGATTTCAATTTTAATTATATTATATTTGGAAGCTTTGTTATCAAGATTTGTATCTTTAAACAATAAAGCATATTTTGATTTGATTTTGATAACAATTTTTTCCTAAGGAGCTATTTTGTGTATACTTTGATATAAGAAGAAAAATTTGTAAGTATGTGAAACCTTATATGGAGTGTGAAGAGAAGTTTAACCAATTAATCTTTTAAATTGAAACTTGAAACTATCACATTTTTAAATTTGTACTATGTATCAATAATTATTATAAAATTTTTCAAATCTCAATCTTTTTTAAGGAAATTTTTCTGAACAAATGTTTGGTATCTCTTTGGTCCTAATATAGTCCTCAAATCTTCAATGCAAGCAAATCGACCTTTGAGCTTCCTAAAAAAAAAAATTTAAAACACAAAATACACAAAACAAAAAAAGTACCTGTATAATAAAACTTGCTCGGCAGTTTTCGAACCAACAAAATGAAGCTTTTCTATTTCGTGCTTATTACCAAAGTTCAAAACGTGTAAGACACCTTTTGAATGATTTGTAAAGGGACTATTTTGCTTTTGCCTAGAAAAAAATGCAATTAATATTTTATTCCTTTTATACCTAACCCAAACTAACTCAATGTCATTTTTCAAAGCCCTCTCCAACAAAACTCTGGAAGCATGTTTGCGCATTTTAGGAGGCGATGGTGTATGGCAGCACGATGTTTGAGCCTTTCTTTTTCTAATAATTTTAGGCTCAGGTTTCGTTTCTGCAATAAAAGATGTTTTTATTATAGAAGACAATCTTAAACTTCTTCTTGGAGCAGGCGACATTGAAATTATTGGTGACCTGCTGTTTAAAGTCTCATTGCCATCACTGTTTTGTCTTTTTATTGACAAACGTACACTTCTTCTCCTTGGGGTAGGAGACATTGAAATAATTTGAGAAACTTTTCTGATTTGTGGGATTTTAAATACATCATCGTCATTATTTTCTGGAGAATATACCTGCAATAAGCTTGTTAATTTTAAATACCATTTTTGATAATTTTTACCAATCTCTGAGCTACAACAGGCTTATCCTCAATTGGAGTGCTTGAAGATAAAACTGGATGAGGAGTAGCATTTTTTAATGCAGTATTTAAATGATTGACCATTCTATTTTCTATTTCTGCAACAAACTTCTTCATAAAAGGACTGGAAACAATTCAATATTATAAAAAGTTACTTTAAAAAAAAAAACAATATTTTTACCTTAAAACTTCCCTTGTTATAATACTACTGCTAGTTGAAGCAATTGAAAATTGATCATTACTTTCATCAATAACTGACAAAGGCATAACCATTTTTTTTGCAGTACTCGCCTTCAAAGGTGTTGCCCTTTTCATTGGAGTCTTTGCAAAGGTATTTTCTTTATTAAATTTATCAACAATTGCATTCACAGTTGGATTGCTTTTAATTCTCTTGGCTTTTTGTGCAAAGTCCAACGTTTGCATTGTGTCTAGGACATCTTCTGGATTAGCACTTACACATGATATAAGTGATATGAAATTTTCAGATTTTAAAGAGTCGTGTAAAATTGTTGTAATCATTGATTCCCTGTATGGAATGTATGATGATTTTATAGATAGGGCTTTGATTACTTGGCCCAAAGTAAGTAGCCCTTTGTTGATGTTTATGCCTTCTTGGAAGGTTCTGCCTTTGGTACCATTTTTTTTGGCACTCTCAGAACCAGCCAGATCTACTAGATTTAATTTTGATGTTGTATTTTGAATTCTAAAAACAAATATTTAATAATAAGTAGATTTAATTGAATAATTTCTTGCCTATTTTCATATTCCACTGTAAATATGGCATGCGATCTTGAGCTGTTTGAGTTTTGCTTAGTTTGACCAACATGTCTGTTTTTGTTGCCCCATTCCAGTAAATTGTTGGCTTCTGTTACGTTTATGACGCATTTTTTAATTAAATTGGGTGCTGTGAAACCTAATAATTAACATTATAGTTATAGGGAAATATTTAATATTGGCATTATTCTTGCCTGAAACTGGTAAAGGTGTTTTGTTCAGGGTCAGCAAATCGAAGACTTTTTCGTTGTAAATTTCACAAAAAGTCACTCTAACTTGGATTTCTTCATTGTCGTTGTTATCAGTGAATAGTTGTTTGAGGGCTCTGGGGATGATGCCTTCTTTGGTATTATCTTCTGATTTCTATGTATCAAAAAATTTAAATATTAAAACTTAAGTTGAAGTGGAGCAAATCTGATGAAGATAAGATATATAAATTGAATTAAATAGCATTATATGAAGTTAAATCAGGGTTGGCATACAAAAAAAACCACCATCAATATTGACAAAAACAAAAACCCAATGGGCTTTGGACTTTTTGTGTCAAAAATCCACCAAGTTAAAATCCTAATTAACAGATTTGTATAGAATTTAATTGGCTTTGATTAGAGCTTAATTTCATTGAAATCGGATGAAAATTAACGGAGCTGAGGCAAAAACTGTCTTAGTATTACTTTTGGCAATTATGGAAGCCTTTGAATCCAGTTGCCCAATAACTACAGCGAGATCCAAAAAAGATGCACCATGATGGAACAGACACCTGTCAAAACTGAGATTTCAAGTCCGACATCTTTTCAATACAGCAAAAAGTGACGGAAATTGGCAGGGATACGCAGAAGTGCTTACTCTGTATAACAAAGAGATAAGAAAAGCCAAAAGGCAACATTTCTTGTGAGGAAATTGCTGACAGTGCTGACACTCCAACGGCTGCAAGGCTACATAAGGCCATGGCCAAAGGAGGAACAAATCCAGTGATGGCCCTCAAAAAGCCGGACGGCACCTACATGAAAGGAGAATAGGAGCAGGCCATCCTATTACTTCAAACGCACTTTCCAGGTAGCGTACCAGTAGAAATAACCACGGAAGTCGACACCAATAAACCGAAGAAAGAGGACTGGGAAGCTGCAAAGAGGGTTTTTACTGCGGAACGGATGAAATGGGCAATAAGTACCTTTCAACCGTTTAAGTCACCAGGAGTGGACGGAATATTTCCTGCCCTTTTACAAAAAGGGCAAAAGGAAATATTCCCTCACCTACTTAGAATAGCTAGGACTAGTTTAGCCTCGGGATATATACCGAGTATCTGGCGACGAGCTAAAGTAACCTTCATACCCAAAATAGGAAAAAAGGATGGGACAAACCCTAAATCTTTTCGACCCATTAGTCTTACGTCCTTTGTACTAAAGAAAATAGAAAAGGCTGTAGATAACTACATCAGAAAGGAAATTTCGGAGAAGGCACCTCTACACTCGCGCCAACATGCATACAGAGCAGGCAGATCGACAGAGACAGCGCTCTATTAACTTACATCCAAAAAACCCTCGAGGAAAAAGAAACACCCATATTATATGCCTTGCTGAATATATCCGGGGCTTTTAATAACACCTCCCATGGGACGGTAAAAATTGCTCTGGAGAGGAGAGGAGTGAATAAAACCATAGTCCGGTGGATCTGTGAAATGCTGACTACGAGAACAGCTGAGACAACTGTGGGTGAACAAACCACAAGCATCAGAACCACTCGTGGTACACCTCAAGGGGAAGTAACCTCACTCCTGTTGTGGAGTCTGGTAGTTGATGAACTCCTGTCCAGACTGACAAATCAGGTTCTAACGCCGATGATATTGTCATTATTGCCAAAGGCAAGTTTGAGTACTTAACAAAAGTACTGGAATTTTTCAGAGTTCTTAAATTGAAGTACAATTGAAATAATTTGAGTACTTGTACTTCAATTACATTATTATGGGTCTTTCTCATAAATATAAAACATGAGAATTTTTCCATTTATTATTTTTCTTGGAACTTTTCAAAAACTAATCAATAACCCAACAAGCTAGATGCTGCTTGTCCGAGTTATTTCAAATATTTAAAAATATAAAGTACTTCAAGTACACTTTTTGAAGTAGGTACTTGAAACACTTTTATTATTCTTGAAATACTTTTATAATACTTGGAGTACTTCTGATGAACTTCTATAGTGCTTCCATTTGCTTCAAGGACCTATTTTTCAATGTACTTGGTGAAATCAATAAGTACATTGTTAAAAATAGTTCAAGTACCATTTATTCACTGTACTTCAACTTCAATTAAAATACTTCTGAAGTACCTACAATTTCAAGTATTTTTCTTGAAGTAGGTACCTGATACAGCTCTAACCCAATAGAAATTTTCAGGTTTTTGCCAACTCCTAGTTATTTAAAAGTTCTCACTTGTGATCCAGATCCCATGGTATAAGTTTTTCCAGTACCAGTTTGGCCATAAGCAAAAACGGTACCATTGTATCCCAGTTTGATACAGTTGACCAGAGGTTCTACTGCGTCCAAATACACCTTTTCCTGATCCGAACAGTCAGGAAATACGTGGTCAAAATTGAAAATTTGGTTTCGTTCTTTTACCAGGAGCATCTTTAAATGATTAAAATTGAAATCAGTTGATGATATATAACTGATAAACTTACAGGAGGTTCTTTGCTGATTATCTGCAGCGAAGAAGATGCTGTATTGTCTTGAGCTAATACAGGCCTTATACGAATGCATACGTTTATGTGTTCTTTTTTGATATCCATTTTTCACAAAATTTATTGTAGAAATGCTAAATGTTTCTAAAAAGGTTTGAATTGGAAATTGGAGGGGTTAACAAATAACGAACTTTTTAAGTTAGCAGGTTTGTTCATACAGAAATTACAAACCAGTCAGAAGAGCGAATTTCATTGGTTGAAAATAGTCAGAAAACTGTATTGTACCAACCTCTATGAGGTGGGTTCGGCTTGCTCACTCCGTGCACTCCGAGTGACTCCATTCGCACTCTAGCCGTTCGGGTATTGCTTTTTACCGTATTAGGGGTGACTCCATTAGCTCTATTCACTCCACTCCAACTCCGCGCTGAATAGCCGAACCCAGCTATGGTACCAAACAAAAAAACGCTCTCTGACTGGTTTGTGATTTCTATTAGCGAATTCCATTGGTCAAGCTTGTACAGTTCGAGTGCAATATTCGTCAACCATTGGCCATTCAGTGCAAATTTTTGAATCTGGTTCGACACTTTTTGTTCTGAGTGCAATTAGTTCCGCAAGAACAGATTGTACGGCACCGGTGCATTTTTCGTTTTTGTTGTTTTGATACATGTGGCCATGATAACCAAATTCCTCCATTTTTTTTTAGAGTTTAGACAATTTTTCGCGAGGATAGCCTAGCATAATTTATTGCTGGATTAGTTGTATTCCTTTCACACCTATGAGGAGCTCCGGAACAGCTCCGGGGCTTTACGCGCTTATTCCTTTCGAAAAGTGTTTGTTGCACCATGCATCTATTCGTACAAATCGGGGGCGACTGACACCGGAGCGAGTAGCTCGAGTGTTTTAAAACTCTTGAGAGGAATACAATTATTATGTGATGTGTCATACTCCTCCAACTCCCCCGTCATCAAATTCTGGGGATACTTGAGGATCTAGAACACGCTTTTTTGAAACTGGTTCGGTTCAAAACAGGCTTGAAACAGTAGCTGTGTTTAACGGGACAGCGTAAACCCGCTAGCGCTCTTTACTGTAGCCGTTGTCCATAATTTTGAATATTCATGTCGAAAATCCGAAAATAAAGCAGCTCTCACCCAAGGAGAATACACACTCTAAAGCTGGGTTCGGCTATTCAGCACGGAGTTGGAGTGGAGTAAGAACAGATTTTTGTCACGTGATCTAGGAGTGTTAAAGTGAAAAATTAATACACGAACGACCGGAACGGTTAGAGCAGAAATGTGAAACAACTGATTTGTTTTGTTTCAAAACAACAGTCAACCCGTGACTTTACCGTTCCAATTTCTATTTTTTTTTTCACTTTTGTTTTTTGGTCTTTCGAGTACAATAAAGTAACTTCAATTCCAATTTCAATTACTCCACTCCATATAGTTGAACGCTAATGGAGTCACCCCAATACGCTAAAAAGCAATACTCGAACGACTGGAATGCCAGTGGAGTCACTCGAAATGCACGGAGTGAGCAAGCCGAACCCACCTTAAGGTGTGCTTATCGATCTCGAAACATCAACCAAAAATCAAAAGAAAAAATATGTAAAAATGAAAAACCGACCCCAGGGTTGCCACACGTCCCGAATCCGATTTTTAGAGATATTTCCGAACCATCCCGTTGAATGATTGCCAAATATTCTGATTTTTAAAAATGTAAGGAAATATATCCCGATTTCCGGCCGACAACACCTTTTTAGGCTGCGTTTTATTTGATCAACGCCAAACGGCTAGAGAAATTGAGGGTTGCCCACTTTCAAACATTTTAGTTCGGTCGACAACGATAACTGCCGACTATAAAACAATGTTCTATTTCATTCTACACCCTAATATCATCATATTATACTTTCTCTTTTTAGTAACGACAGAGATGTCGAAATTCGTATACAGAGTGGTTCATGGGACGGTTTTTGACGTGTTAGAACAAACCTATTGTATTCAAAAAGTTCCAAGGGCAAGGAGTCAGGACATACTCAATAGCTGTATTCCTTTCATGAGTTTGAAACACTAGAGCTATTCGCTCCGGTGTCAGTCGCCTCCGATTTGTACGAATAGATGCATGGTGCAACAAACACTTTTCGAAAGGAATAAGCACGTAACGCCCCGGAGCTGTTCCGGAGCTTTTCCTAGGTGTGAAAGGAATACAACTATTGGGGCTCCAGAACGTTCTAAATTGGTTCACTATATTTCCAAAAACTTCCAGTTTTAAACTGAACCCCATAGATTAATCCCTCTTAGGACGGTTTAATCTGTGCTGAACCCTAATTGTTCTAAAATAACTGAGCATTTTGCTATCTCTAGGGTAGTTTGGTACCAATGAACATGGTATTCTCAGGGCGCGAGGTTGCCAAAAGATTTTAGAGCGAATTTCGGGCCACATTGAGCGTCCTGGCGGCCGCCTAGTTCAGTCCGCATACGGTTCGTATAGTGGTAAAACCAATGACGTAAAACCGGCGCTGGGTTGGTACGTAACGTCATTGTTATTGTTCCCTAAAAGTAAACACCAAAAAAAAAAAAACTGTATCCAGAACACTGGGCAAAAGTGTTGCAATCAAAGACACCTTTTGATTTTGCAGAAAGAGAATCTTATATACTTTAGTCACCCTGAGGTTGTAATTAAAAAAAGGGGCGGGGGGGAGTTGGGGGAGTATGACACATCACATAATAGTATTTATTATTCCTTTCAAGAGTTTTAAAACACTCGAGCTACTCGTTCCGGTGTCAGTCGCCCCCGATTTGTACGAATAGATGCATGGTGCAACAAACACTTTTCGAAAGGAATAAGCGCGTAACGTCCCGAAGCTGTTCCGGAGCTCCTCATAGGTGTGAAAGGAGCCGCTTTCCAGTATGGGAGTATGACGCTCGGAGCTACTCGGAACGTTGAGCACCTGCTATACTACGTACGGACAAACGTCACACGTCATGACACTGGAACGGTACAAATCTAGTGCGTAGCGCTCCCGGGGTGCTCTAGAGCGCGCCAATGTGCATACCTGGAAAGCAGCTAGGAATACAACTAAAATTAGGTTTGTTCCAACACGTCAAAAACCGTCCAATGAACGGTTTTGAAACCACTAACCACTCTGTATACGTATTTCGAGTTCTATACGTCTATGCACAAATTTTTTTCTTATGAAAAATGCAGATGAGTAGGAATAGAATGAAAATTACAAAAATGCAATGTTTTACTTAATTAAGGGGAGGGGTACCTATATTGTTTTTTATTCCTATCCGCTGTCCCGCTTTTTCAAAGTTAAAATCTCGGCCCCGAGCGTCATACTCTCATACTGGCGATGCGTTCGGTATTTTGCTCAAAGAGCAGAGCGTGCTGAGTCGTAATCACGTAACTAGCGAGCGAACAGAGCAGTTGAACGGTATCAGAGTATTCAGAGTGCCAAAAATTTTAATGTACCAATGCGAATGAGCCTACACCGAGAACAACGAACGGTAAATTCAAGCTCGGAGAACTCAGATCAAAGTACCGAACTTACGGTGGAAAGCAGCTCTGAGCCGCTTTCGGGTGCTACCCTTTGAGCGCTTCCGAGGTACTCCGAAGTATTCCAGCTTCAATTTAGCCCGTTCGGGTGAACAGAGTTTCGCGCTCTCCAGCTGCTCTCATTTCCTCGCCTCTTACCCCTGAAGCATCTACCATTTTACGATTGCGTCACGTTCCGGGCAAAACGGTTTTAGGGCGGGTATTATAAAACTGCTTTGACAGTTAACTTGAAGTTAACTTCTGAAAATACATGTAATTCAAAAAGTTAACTTCAAGTTAACTGTCAAAGTAGTTTTATAATACCCACCCTTAAGCGTTCGGGTGCAAAACCTATGGAGTATAGTGTGAAGTATTCTAGGAGCTTCGCACTCTGCACCCGAGAGCGGCTCTGGTGTTACTCTTGAAAGGAATAGTAATTTAAATTTAGAGCAGAGCTGCTTTCCAGTGCCTAAAATTGTTAGAGTATCATGCTCTAGAGCTGGGATCACGACAAGTGGCATTCTACTTTCATGACGTCACCCACGACCTATTTATCGCGTACGATCCCAGCCTTGGAGTGTGACGCTCTTGAACTGTTCGACATAAGCAGCACAGGAACGCTCTCGTCTTAACCCCCACCATTTCGAATTTTAGGAGCATGAAACACTTTATACAGGATAACTTAAGCCTAGTACTCATAACTGCGAAATTCGCACTTTTTTGACATTACTTTAACAATTTGACGTTTGATTCACGCATAAAACGTCAATTTGTCGAAGCAATGTCAAAAAAGTGCGAATTTCGCAGTTATGAGTACTAGGCTTTATCCTCATAAGGCCTGTGTGCAACAAATCCCCCTTTTTCCCCCCTATGCCAAACAACCAGTTGTGACGTAATCAGCATGGCGTTTCTCGCCTTGACGTAGGCTGTTTAAGCAGCTGACGACGTCGGCACTGGTTGAAAACAGTTGAAAACCAATATGGCGACGATTATCAAAAACGAGGCCGATAAGCACTCCTTAGAGTGTGTATTCTCCTTGCTTTCCAGTGACCTATTTGAGTTACTCCTAAGCAGCTCAGGGGTGCTCCACAATTGTCTTTGTTTGCGCGTTCCAGTGCTAAGAGTGTCGTACACTTGAACTACTCATTTCTGTTATCTCCTGCCCCCTCATGCACCAATCTTTATTTCGGTGTGCCATTGCCATGCTCCTGAAGTCCGAAATGGTGGGGGTTAAGACGTGAGCGTTCCAGTGCTGCTTATGTCGAACAGTTTAAGAGCACCACACTCCAGGAGCATGATACTCTAAAAATTTAGGCACTGGAAAGCAGCTCTGAGCTACTCAGGAGTAACTTTAAATGGGTCACTAGAAAGCACCTAAGATTGACAACACTGATTTGTCATTATCAGCTGTGCTGTCTTTTGACAACCCAAATCAAATCAAATAATTTTTATTTCTTTTGGTAATAATTTATTGCTTATTAATAACAAATTAGTGCATTGTTTAAAATAGCTCATAGTAATAAATTGCAATGTAATGTTTCAGCATGAACCACCAAAGATACAACGATTATTATCTAGTGAATGATGAAGACATGGGAGAAGACACTGACAGCATCGAATTCATGCCCAGACAAAAGTGTTGTACACTAAAAAAATGCTTAATTATTTCTGCAATTAGGTAATTAATTGTAATTACTTATTGTACCTAATTATTTTATTTTTAGCTTTGTATCCTTGGCTGTTCTAGCTTTTATAGTAGTCTTTGTTATATTTCCTTTGGTATTCCAAAACAGCTTGTCTTTGCAACAAGATTTGGTGTTTACAAGATGTAAGAACATATTTATCATAAATTACATATTGTATTATTAAGCATTAATAATTAATTTGTAATACAATTTTTTCTTTTGTGGAAATATTGTACATATAGCAGATTTTTTTGTATTCTATTGTCAAACATGTTAATGATGTTACAAGCATTTATTACCCACAGAACAATATTTTTATACACAAAAATGTCTGTATTTCCCTTGTATTTCCTTCCAAATCCCTCTAATTCCTTTCATCCATAAAAACACAATAATTACAATACAATAATAATTATTATTACAATTTTTTCAGGGGGTCTAGAAACAAATAGTACAGTTTTCCAAATCCTCAGATTTCCCGAATACAAAAACTACTATGTACCAGTTAAAGATCTAGCCACAAACGAAACCTTAAAATTAGGCCTTTGGCACATACTGCCCTTTGATTTGGCAAAAGCAGCCATTTACAACGACACATATGACTATGAGGATGCTTTAAAAAATAGCAATTACAGCGTATTGCTTTATTTTCACGGCACTGGTGAGGATAGGAGCGACAATTTGAGAAAATATCAATTTTTTAGGACTTTTTTTCACGTTATTGTATTTGATTATAGAGGTAATACTATTTTATTTAGAAAAAAAAACATGTCATTATTTGTACAATTTAGGGTATGGAGACTCTCAAGCTGGTACAATGCTTGAAAAAAACATTGTCAACGATTGTCGTCAAATTTATCAGTGGCTCCAGGAGAAAACATCAGCCCTCTTGTTTGTTTGGGGTCACTCTCTAGGCACATCTTTAGCTGTCAGCACTTTGAGTCAGCTTGGACAAGAGGCCAACACAACCGGGCTTATTTTAGAGGCAGCTTTTACTTCTTTTGCAGAAGAACTCTACCACCATCCTTATGTAAAAGTATATTGATTATTTTTGTTTTAATTACTTATGAACTTATTTAAGAGTTTTTTTCAGTACTTTAGATGGCTGCCTTGGTTTAAACAAACCATTGTAAACCCACTCAGAAAAAATGGTTTTTTGTTTGAGACTTCTAAGCATATTTTAAATGTTACTTGTCCTATTTTGTTTTTGCATGCAATTGATGACGCAGTTGTTCCATATTTTATGAGCAAACAGGTAACTTGAAGTTGTACTTTTGTGTACTTAAATAAATTGAATTTTTTCTAGCTCTATAATATCTCTATGCAAAGAAATGTGGATGAAGAAGTTAAAAATAATACCCAGCTAGTACTATTTGATAAAAGACTCAATTTGAGACATTATTTTATTTATCAGGATTCTTATACAATTTTTTATTTCTAGTAAGTACCTTGTTAATTGGATACAATTACCAAATAATTATTTTTTGTTTTTTAGTAATTTTATGAGACACTTTACAGGTTTCCCTGTCTCAACTAATGAAAGCTCACATCAAAGTTAACGTGTGGCTGTGATATTACATGTTATGTAAAAAAAAAACAAAAATTAACTTTAAGAAAATTTATTTATTAATAAGTGTTTTGTATTACTATATAATCCTGTTGTTTGCCAATAAAGAAAATTGATGTTTTGTATTTCTGGGAACTTGTTAGAATAATTTGGTACTGTAGTATTTGGGTTTTAGTGGAAAGTGAAACTTCTTGTTGCAAAACCCAACGTCTTTCAGTACTAATATTTTATTATTAATCATTTTATAACTTTCAATTTTTCTCTATTCCAGGCGCTATAGACTAAAATAATTCTGAGGTTTTCAAATTGTTCTGAAGTCTTTCAAAATGCTGCTGGAAAGTGTTTTGGAACGTTCTAAATGCCTTATTAAAGTTCTAACTTGGCTTGGAGAGCTCGCAGGATTATAGAAGTTTTTCAGTAATTTTTGAAATTGTTCTGACAGATTTTGAGTATTTTGGAGAAGCTCCAGAACGTTCTGAATTGGTTCACTATTTCAAAAAATTTCCAATTCTAAGCTGAATCCTAATTGTTTTAAAATAACTGAGCATTTTGCTATCTCTATAGGTCTCATCTAGTTCTTTATGGCCCTAGAATTTCGTCACATAGTCATACCTGTTTAATTAATCAATTTCAATCAAGAAAATGTCAATTATTTTGCTCCAATTTATCATAATTTTCCTACATGCTTATTACTGTAACAGTTTACAAACGAAAAATGATGACCAACAACTGTGGGAGATGGCAAGAAAATCGTTGGCTCAAAGAACTCGCGAATACATCAAAGACCATCCAATAAGTGAAGATCTTCAATCGTTTATCGACGAAATAAACCACTCGAAACGAGAAAAGAGGCAAGGCAACATGTACGCTATAAAAAATGGAGATGTAGTTCCTCTGGAACAACTGGAAGAACAGTTCAATACCGAATCTAATTTGGGCCCAGGCTTTACCGTAGTGCCGCTTCTTATACCTATTCCTCTGCAGAATACTGTCACCTTAAAGTAGGCGCATTATATTTCCATTTTCCAGTGAACAGTTCTTCCAAAAGTTTTATTATAAAACATTTAAATTTTGTGTTTTTTTTTTCTTCCAGGAATCGAGATACAACAGAAAACAATGATAATGATGATCCTGCATTATGGAGACAAAAAGGAAATCACATGAAGCATTACTTAAGTGCGAACAAGGACGATGATGATAAGCAAGCAGTAGTTAATAATTTGGTTGAAGATAAACTGAAAGCAACCAGTAGTGACCCTTCTGTCGATTTGAGTAAAGTTTTAGCAGACGTACAAAACTTGATCAGTGCACAAAAGAAATCAAACAGCATGGAAGGTAATAATAGTTAGTTTATATAGTTTACGAAAATGTGTTTATTTGAAATTGTTTCTAGGTGCACTCTGTAATGTTTCTGGATTTTGGAATAGCCAATCAGGAGGTAAAAGGTTTCACATAAAAAGGTCGCCAGATGAAGTGAAAATCACTATGCGATCCACAGAACCGCCCACTGAAGACGGTTTCATTAAAAACGCTTGGAATATCTCAGCCGAAATTCCGTTTGCCCAGGCAGCTCAAGTTATTATTAGACTAACTGCGCATAAAGGCAAAAAAGTTGCATTATTTTTGGGTAAGTAAAAGAAACTCTTTACAGGATGGTCCATTTAATTTAAAAGTCAAAAATCAAGTGCTACAATTTCCTCTTCCCCGAAGGCACCATATAACTTTTATTAATTTCAACTTTGTCTCAAGCTGAATGGAATGGGCCACCCTATAAACAATAAATCACTTGATATACTTATAGTTTGTGTTTATAGGTGAATGTCGAGTTTGTGATGGAAGCGAAACAATCACTGGCGATTGGCTAGTAAGCCGTATTTCTAATAATTGCAAAGATCAAAAGGCTGCTCACTCATTCATTTCCGACGTGTTTAGGAAAGATAATACCGAAACATTGAAAAAAGCACATTTGAAAGTTTTAGCTTCTCTTACAGCACATCCTACTACTTCTACTGAGCTGAACGATAACTTTTAATATACTTTATTTTATCGAAACTATTCATACATCTTCATTTTTCCTACGCAAAACTGCCAAAGCCGCTCTATGTTTGGTAATTCCAACAGAGTTTTCCAAAACGCACTGGTAAATGCCAGCGTCTACCATTCTAGCGCGTCTTATGCCCATCCTGAATTCTGTATTGTTATTGGATGTGAGCAACTTGTTCCAATCTTTTTTGTCTCCAGAATTGATTACAGTATTTTCCCACAACCAAGTGACTTGGGCAGGAGGATTTGCAAAAGCTCTAACATTATATGTAACATCTTCCCCTTCTTTTATTACTGTATCTGGCATTTGGACTTGGAGGAATATTGGTTTTGCTATTAAAAAAATAAAATAAAGTATTTTCACCAAACAAAAACATATGACGTACTAAGCACATTTACAATACACCTGCTCTTAACATCTCCATAAGCATTAACCACTTGCACCACATACTCTCCCCTTTCAGCATAAGAAATTCCACTGATGGTGCAGAAAATCTTGTATTTTTGCTTTCCATAAGTTTCAAGGCCGATTTGGATGCGTTCGTCAGGGTCCATTTCCTGGTTGTTCCTGAACCATCTAAACTGAGGAGCAGGAAAACCTCTTACGATAACTTCTAAAGTTAATGTAGAATGTTCTTCGATGTTTAAGTCGTTTAATTGGACGTTTATACGAGGAGAACCTAATTTTGGTATATATGGAAGTTAAACGTGTAAACTTAAAATATTCAATATTCATACAATTTACTGTGACTTTTCCGCTAGTTTCATCCTGTCCGCATTCGTTGGTTAATCTGCACCGATATTCTCCCGAAAGATCAGTAGTGGGCTCGTTGATAATTAATTTAATTGAATCGCTAGTTTCTACTCTGGTAAATTCTGGTATATCGTCCAATAATTCATCACCATCCAAAAACCTGAGAAAAAATCATTATTACCATAAGCGCAACTAGGCTCCAAATTTGAGGGGTGCTGCAGCACCATTTTTTTTTTTTGATGAGGTTTGATGGAAAATGAGACGCGTAAAAAAAAGTTAGTTTCACGAGGGTTTGTACTTATGTCATCATTTGCCTTTTTTTTCGAAAAATAGGTTTTTTATGTCTGAAATTTCAAATAAACATATAGTTCGTTGCACGAAGGTTTTTACTTACGTCATCGATGACGTCATAACTTAGAGAAAAAGTTAAGTCATAGATTAATTCATAGAGCACCTTCGGAATTATTGTTTTGTGATACATTTTTTAACTTAGAATAGAGTTTGTTCAGTTATCCGAAAATATATAAATAAATTTCTCCTGGAATGATTTTTCACTAGAAAATTTTGAAATTTTCCTCTAATGAGCTCCTCACTTTCCTCTTTCTCCTGTAAAAATTTCAAAATTTTCCCGTTGCCAGTTTTCCAGAAAAAAAATAAAATGTAAGAGGTGAATTTTCCTTAATTTTGCTTAAATAAGTCAATTTTCTTTGAATTTTTTCTGGCGTGATTTTTCACTGGAAAATTTCGAAATTTTCATATAATGAGCTCCTCATTTTTCTCTTTTTCCTGGAAAATGTTCAAAATTTTCCCTTTGCCAGTTTTCCAAAAAAAATTTAAATGTGAAAGGGTGAATTTTCCTTAATTTTGCTTAAATAACTCAATTTTCCAGAATTTTTTCTGGAGCCATTTTTGAAATTTTCTTATATTGAGTTCCTCACTTTCCTCTTTCTTCTTCCACAATTTTTGCTTTGCCAGTTTTCCAGAAAAAAGTTGAAATGTGTAAGGATGAATTTTGCTTAAAAAAGTCAATTTTCCAGAACTTTCCTCTCGACTTTCCTTGGAGTGATTCTTCACTAGAAAATTTTGAAATTTTCCTATAATAAGCTCCTCATTTTCTTCTCTCTCCTGGAAAAATTTCACAAGTTTTGCTTTATTAGTTTTCCAAAAATAAATTGAAATGTGAGAGGATGAGTTTGTCTTAATTTTACTTGAAAAAGTCATTTTTTCAGAATTTTTCCTGGAGCGATTTTCCATTAGAAAATTTTGAAATTTTCTTATAATGAGCTCCTGACTTTTCTCTTTTTCCTCTTTTGCCAGTTTTCCAAAAAAAAATTGAAATGTGAGTGGATGGATTTTCTCTAATTTTACTTCAAAAAGTCCATTTTCCAGAACTTTTCCTTGAGTGATTTCTCACAAAAAAATTAAAATATAAGAGGGTGAATAATTTTCCTTGAATAAGTCAATTCTCCAGAATTTTTTATGGAGTGATTTTTCATTCGAAAATTTTAAAATTTTGCTAATGAGCTCTTTATTTTCCTCTTTTTTCTGGAAAATTTTCACAATTTTCCTTTTCCCAGAAAAAAATTAAAATGTAAGAGGGTGAATTTTGCCTAAAAAAGTCAATTTCCCAGAATTTTTCCTGGAGTGATTTTCCACTGGAAAATTTTGAAACTTTCCTATAATGAGCTCCTCACTTTTCTGTTTCTTCTGGAAAAATTTCACAGTTTTCCCTTTGCCAGATTTCTAGAAAATGGTTAAAATGTAAGAGGGTGAATTCTTCTTTGCTTAAAAAAGTTAGTTTTTCAAAATTTTTCCTGGAGTGATTTTTTACTGGAAAATTTTGAAATTTTCGTGAAATGTAAGTTCCTCATTTTCCTCTTATTTCTGGAAAATTTTCAAAATTTTCCTTTTGCAAGTTTCCAGAAAAAAAATTAAAATATAAGAGGGTGAATTTTCCTTAATTTTGCTTAAATAAGTCAACTCAACATATTTGAGATTTCAGTCCTAAAAAAAAAAAAAACAAAGAATCACCCTTTGCCGTTTGTACATGATATTTAGGAACACCCTGTATAATACGCAGTTAGTTAATTTATTATACAGGGTGTCCCACGGTGGATGGCGTATTAGACGTTTATGGAGAACTAAAAAGCGAATCATCTTGAAAATTTGGCAACCGGGATAAACGACCATGATCTACACTTTAAAAATATTTTTGACCATGCGGTGTTGCCGCTTCTACTCTAAACTAGTGGCAACATCACTATTTTAAATGGAACACCCCGTATTTAATTGCATATTTGGATTCTACGTAAAATTCTGAGCAGATTTCATGTGATATACCCTATACCTAAGTTCAACTGTTTTGGAAATATTGACAGTTGAAAATTGACTTTTTGCTACTTTGACAGGCTGTAAAACCTAATTGGTTAATTTTAGAGGAAAACCGATTTCACATTCCTATCTTAGATTTTGATAAACTATCATTTAACACCAACTTTGAACTTAACCAGAGATTAAATTTAACTGAAATTTTTAATCATGGATTTAATTCTAAGTTGGTGTCAAATGATAGTTTATAAAAATCTAGGATAGGAGTGTAAAATCGGTTTTCCTCTAAAATTAACCGTTCAGGTTCTACAGCCTGTCAAAGTTGCAAAAAGTCAATTTTCAACTGTCAATATTTCCAAAACAGTTGAACTTAGGTATAGGGTATATCACATGAAATCTGCTTAGAATTTTACGTAGAATCCAAATATGCAATTTAATACGGGGTGTTCCATTTAAAATAGTGATATTGCCACTAGTTTAGAGTAGAAGCGGCAACACCGCATGGTCAAAAATATTTTCAAAGTGTAGATCATGGTCGTTTATCCCGGTTGCCAAATTTTCAAAATGATCCGCTTTTTAGTTCTCCACAAACTTCTAATACGCCATCCACCGTGGGACACCCTGTATTTGGGACTCCAATGATTTTTTAAGGGCCGGTATTTCAATGTCACCTTAAGATCTAGAATAAACATAGACATTGACAACATTGTCTGACCTTGTTTGATGACGTTATCCCAAATATAACATAAAAACCGTATATTTTAGGGTAAATCTTGATTTTAAGATAATATTGTAATACCTGCCCCGGGTTGAAAATTTTTATTCCATAACAATAATAATTGCGAACGTGCTCTATGAATTAATCAACGACAAATACTTTTTTTTAAATTATGACGTCATCAATGACGTGAGTAAATACAACAAGTGCAAAAAAAATAAATAATTTGGTTGCACTTATTTTTTATATTAGTGTTAAGTAGTGCCACTGTAGGTAGTGCTATGGTGGGATGCCCAATGGGAGTGCTAATTTTAGCACCCCCCTAGTTGCGCCTATAATTATTACTACAAATCTGGGAGCTATTTTACCGCTCGCTAAGAGAACATCCTTATAGTTTTATTGAGTTTTTGAGTTGATAGCTTCAAAAACAAGTTTAAATTCCAACATTACATTAATACATACCATGTAACTATTGGTCTAGGAAAAGCTTCAATCTTAATTTCCAACTCTACACTATGTATAATATGAAAAACGTCTTGTTCTAGAGCTATGGCATCGTCAAATGATTGCACAATAGTTGGCGCTTTCTTCACATCGATTTGAACTCTATCTTCTACAAAGCCGTGCACGTTTTCCGCTCTAAACCTGTAAACACCTGCATTTTGTATGGAAGTATTACGTATCTTCAAAAATTCAAATCCTTCATCGTCATCAATGAGGATTTTCTTGTTAGCGACCAATTGCAGATCGTTTTTGTACCACTTTATTACAGCTCTAGGTTCTGCTTGGATTTTTGCTTTGAGCACTACGGTTTTGTTTTGATCTACTTGCAAATTGTTGCCCAGTTTGTGCAAGAATTTCGGTTTGCTGTAGACGTAAACGCCCCAAAACTGAGACACTTGAGCCAGGCAATTGGTGGCAACGACCGAATATACTCCTGTGTCTTTTAGGCAAGTGTTTTTCAATACCAGAGTGAATATTGGGTAATTTTCGATCACTTGTATGTGGTCGTTTTGCTGAAACTCTCTGCCGTCTTTTAGGAATTGCACTGCGGGTTTCGGAATTCCATCTACTTCTGCTGGCACGATTAGGATTTCTTCTACGCCGATTGATAGGTCTTCAATTTTAGATTTTATTGTAGGATATTTGTGTCCTGGAATTTTGTTTGTTTTACATGTTAGGTATGTTAAATAATTACGTACTAATAACGATTAAATTAATGTCCGCAGAGTCAAAACCAATTTCGTTTTCGGCCATTATAGTGTACGTGCCAGCGTCTTCGAATTGTACGTCTCTGATAACTAGCAGTAGAATGTGCTCGTGGTTTTCATGGTAGATTCTAAAAATAGGAATTATAATAATTTTCAAATAAATTAAAAATACTCACTTATATTTTGAGCTAGGCTTAATTGGTATATCTTGAAAGGTGCATCTCATATCAGGTTTTGGATAGCCATTTATTTGAACTTGTAACATCGCCTGGTCGCCTTCGTTACATACGACTTCAGCTTTTTCAACAACCAAAGAAGGTTTCCAGTGTCTGAACTATAAGCAAATTGTACATTATTGTATGAGCAATGAATGAATAATTATTACTCACTGGTTTTCTAGTAGCTATTTCGTCACTTTCTTGGCTGTTGTGATCGATTTCTCCTTTAACGGTTGCCCCAAAGCTTAGAACTCCTCTGGTAGTTTTTGCAACCGATGTGAGTATGGATTCTCGAGCACTTACGTGCTGGAATACGAAAGCCACAGTATCTTCGTCGTCGCCCATAAGAGCTTTGAAATTTTCTTCTGGTTTGAATAGTTGATCTCCATCTTTTTTCTTATTAGCTTCTCTTATTAGGGCTTCCGAGGACTGTGATAGTTGGGACATGTCTCTACTTGTTATCAAATTACTATTGAATCAATTTATGTAATAGCAAAATTGACACCCACCAACTTGAACTATAGTAAAAATCAAATTGATAATAATTATAGAGGTGTATGTTTGTGGTGGTCATTTTGGTCATACGCCAAAATAATCGATAAAATTAGGTGAGACCCTATAAACTATATAAAAATAGCAGGAAATGAATGCAATCCTGCCTCTGTGCCTTGTTGTTTTGTAGAATGAATGAGGATAATTATACACACATCCATATTATATACCTATTAATTTATTTTAAAGAAGTTCTTTTTGCCAATAGCCAAAAAATAAAACTACATTTGTTTAAATAAAACAGTTTTAATTTATTTTTAGAATTAATTTATCCATATGTGATATAACACTGATCAAGGTGATTTCACGTTGGCCCACACCCTACAACTATATTTTATAATGACTTAAATGTATGTATGTACCTAAAAAAAAAAATTGAATCATCCAATAACTTGATCTATACAGGGTGATTTACTTAGCCCGCGCATTAGAAGTTTTTGCAGAAGGATTAGAAACTTCAAATTTGGTTTGTAGCCATGTGTCACCTAAAATATTTTCAGATCTTCAACTATACAAGGTGTACCAAACGTAAGCACTAACTTTCTTATTTCAAATAATGTCTGCCCAGCGCCTCTATGTCTACGGGGCAACGGGTAAGGGGAATAAAGTTGTAAAAAAAAAATGGCTGATTTCATTCATAAAATACCCAGCTGCGTACGGAACTTTTTGGAAGTGTTATCGTATTGCAACTCATACAGGGTTGTTCTTGGGGAGTTTTCGTGTGTGCCTGCAGCAACACTCAAATAGTGCCAAATAGTGCCACTTAAAAAGTAATAGGAGAGGATTTTTTGACTTTTCACCCATTTCTTTTTATTACATCAATAAAAAGAGAAAGATATATCATATTTCATAATATTAAATTAGCTAAAATGATAATTGACAGTCACGTCACTGTCACTAGTCACACTCACATCGACAGATCCACCACAATTCTCACAAGGCCTTCACGGAAATGCTGATCCGATTAGCCCGATCACCGGCTGTTCATTTTTCATCTTTCTTCAATAAACACGATTGAAAAAGACAAATTACATACAGCGTTTCCCCAAAGGCCTACATGTCAGGACTGAGGTCTTTAGCACAGAAATGAAATGAACAAAAGATACAATAGAATAGAAATAAGCAAAAAATCCTGCTCCACCTCCAGTCTTTCTCATCTTCAATAAATATGATTCGTGCCAAATTTTTCAAAGTGGTTCCACCGTGCATTTTGCGGGTAAAAAGTGCCACTTTTGGCACAATCGTGCCGTTTGAACAACACTGAACTCATACACGAAAATCGACAATGACACAACCACCGCCACTGGATATTTCAATATAAATCAATATTCCAAGATGGGAGGATAAAATGACAAGAGCCCTGGCCAATAGCGAGACCTAAGGTGACATTAGCTCATTGACAACCGCACGGGTTCCCGTGGCAACGGCGATCGTGTCAAAAACTCCACCAATCAGGGTCCTTATTTTTGAAACTGGGGAGCAGCGTTCCCAGGAGAACGAGTGTTCCGTCTTTCTCAACGATATGCAAATTATAATATAAGTAACAAAGACGGAAAACTCGTTCTCCTGGGAACGCTGCTCCCTTGTTTCAAGAATAAGGACCCAGGTCGGATGCTTGCTAAATTGTCAAAAGCTCTTCAGAAAATGTTCATTTATCACAATAGACAAAATTGGAGAAATCAGTTATTGAAATAAGAATAATAGATCTAACAACCACGTTGAAATATTTACCGTTTTATTGTTATTTATATTTTGTTATTAAAAAATGATTTTGAAATGAACTATACTTTATGCCTAGTATTTTCGCTTTTTTATAATTAAACGTGGCAACATCGCACATTCACATCCGAATTCCTTCCGTAGACTCAGAACCGCTGGGCAAACAATAGAAACATGCATCTATGTCAACATAGTTCGGTTGGCCTTGCAATTTTGAATTTGGACCATCCAAGTTTTGTCAACTTATCTCTTATAGTTTTTTTACATAAATGTCATTTTTTATTTCAAATTGCCGCTGCAGTTAGTTGTTCAGGAAAAACAGGATTCTATGAAAACCGTTCCAAAATAATAAACCAAATTTAGAAGATATAATTAGCTGAAAGTTTAGGCTAACTCCTGATGTGTCATTGATGTGCCCATTTTACACCATATTGGTGCAGGCAAACATTGGAATCAGTAATGGACGAAAAGTCAATTTTTTCAAATGTCATCTATTATATTTTTTGGCAACATTTGCAATAGAATTGAATTTTAGATGGCGTTACTTAAGGATACCCTATACCTAACTTGATTCGTTATTGAGTTATTCATTAAAAATGAAAATCAAGAAATCCAGTAACTTGTCACCTTCTTTTTTGATGTGTCAAACAAAAAAAAAAAACAACAACTACAAAAATTAGTTATTTATAATACAAGAGAAAAAAGTACGAGATTTTAGATTACAACACAGCGAGCGCTAAAATCTTACTTTTTTCCCATGTATAATACACTATTTTTTTCTGTGACGGGAAAATTTTCCATCTATACATTATTCCCTTTGAGAAAAAAATTTGACTGATACCTGTTACTTTTCTCCCTCGGGAAAAAAAATTGACTGGTACCTGTTACTTTTTTCCCGTGGGAAAAAAAAATAACTTTTTTCCCATGGGAGAAAAAGTGACATTTTTGCCCATGTCAACAGGTATAAAAAAGTCTACTTTTTTCCCGTCACAGAAACAAGTTATTTTTCTCTGAGCTGCATATACAGGGTGTATATTTTAAGTGATACCACTATTGTTATAACGGTAAAAGCTACAAGATCGGTTAAATTAAATAAAAGTTGCCTTTTTTGATGCCCATGCAAAACTTGTTTACAGTGTTGTCAAATTCCTTTCAGTTTGTGAAATACAGGGTGATTTATAAAAAACGACTAAAATTATTTCATCAATTATTTCGAAAACTATTGATATTCGAGACACAATTTAAATTTGAAAAATTTATAAATTTTTTCGCTCTACAACATGGCATCTTCAAATTTAAAATCCGACGTTTCGTGATCAAGCTACCATCATCAACTTAATTTTTTTAAATACGGACCTGGATTTTTTATATAATTTTTGGAAAGGGAATGAAGGCCGCTTCTCAAAAATGACATAAAAAATCCAGGCCCGTATTTAGAAAAATGAAGTTGATGATGGTAACTCGATCACAAAACGTCGGATTTAAAATTTGAAGATGCCATGTTGTAGAGCGGAAAAAGTTATGTTATAAAAGTTTCAAATTTAAATTGTGTCTCGAAAATCAATAGTTTTCGAAATAATTTTGGGCGTTTCTTAGAAATCACTCATAAACTAGAAGGAATTTGGCAACACTGTAAACAAGTCTTAAATGGGCATCAAAAAAGGCAACTTTTTTCTAGTTTAACCCACCCTGTAGCTCTTACCGTTTTGGATATAGCAATAGTGGTATCAGCTAAAATATACAACCTGTATAGTGGCTATTTATTGACACCTGACAGGCGTGAAAGGTGTTATTTGACTGCCTAGTCGAAAAAAGTGGACTTTTCTATGGATAACTCAATAACGAATCATTTTAGGTATAGTGAATGCTTGTAACGCCATGTAAAATTCAATTTTCTTCCGAATGGTACCAAAAAACATGATAAATGGCATTTAAAAAAATTGACTTTTTGACCATTATTGATTCCGGTGTTTGTAGGTCGCCCGCACCCATATGGTATGAAATGGGCTCACTAATGACACATCAGGTAGCCTCAACCTTCAGCTTTTTATCTTCCAAATTTGGTTTATTATTTTAGAACGGTTTTCGAGAAACCTTGTTTTTTTATTAGGATTGGCATAGAATTTCCCTAGGTTATAAAACCCAGTGGAGTTTTTTGGGTTTTTTCAATTGAAAAAACCCACCATTATGGGGTTTTTTGGGTTTTTTCAGTTGAATAAGCGTCATTTTCACAGGAAATATCAGGAATTCCCCGATGATTCCCCAATCTCTGGCTGTTCGCTGTTGGCGTTTGGCGTGGAGGTCTGGGCAGGAACTATGTGCCATGTAGAATTTAGAATTCGACATATCGAATGTGCCGAATCTATAGAATCCTGTCGATATGTAGAATTCTACGTGACACGGAGTCTCTGGACTGGCCAGCCAGAGGCGTGGATGCCAAGTGCAATTATTTATATCAAGTGGCTTTTTTTTATTTTGTAAGGATATTTTATTTTTGCAACAAAAGTCATAATTTCTGTAATACTTTTGCTAGAGCAGAAATCGAGGCAGAAACTATAAATCAAATTTGAAGAAAAAAACAGAAACCCCCAGTAAGCCCGAAAAAACCCAAAAAACCCAAAAAAACCCGACGGATTCGACTTTTTCAAAAAAACCAGGTTTTTTTCCAACCCTCCTGTATAAATAACTACAGCAGAAATTTTTAATAAAAAATTATATTTATGTTTGACAAAACTTTGGTGGTCCAAACTCAAAATTACAAGAACAACCGTGCGAGTTTCTATTTGAAATAAAAAAGTTAGTGCTTACATTTTGGTACACCTTGTATAGTTGAAGATCTGAAAATATTTTAGGTGACACATGGCTACAAACCAAATTTGAAGTTTCTAATCCCCGTGCAACCTTGAAAACTTCTAATTCTCGGGCTACATGATTTACCCTGTATATTTTTTTCGAAAAAAACGCACTCATCTTGAATCATTCAGTTAAAATTTGATCAATAAAAATTAGTGGTCCTCGGTGAAAACACATTTTTTAAAAAGGCGAAATCCATAGGTAGGAGCTACGGTATATAAAGATTTCTTATTTACAAAGTTGAAATATAATTATGTTTTATTAAATTTCACTTATTTATTAACGGCATTCATGAAAGCCACCAACAATGTTTTGAGGGTTTTGTCTGAGGGTTTTTCCGTTTTTCGATAGACAATTAGCGGGGAAGGGCGAGAAACCGGCGATTCCAATTTCCAATAAATGATTGTCAGCGCTCTGGTAATACGCAACAGGATCGATAGATAGTGGAATAAGGCACCCCTATGTGAATAAGGCTCTCATGTATTTTAAATTTTATAAGCAGAATGGGAAGTTCGAAAAGGGGGTTTTAAAGACTTATTGCTTTTCGTTAACTGCGAAATATTTGTTTTTTTGAATAACCCTTAGACATATCTTTTATTTTTTAAATCGAATTTAGAAAATTCAACTATTAATAGATCACTCAAAAAGCAATAATTATATATTAATAGATATTTTATGGAGTTGTTGAGTTGGCAAAAATCAAGCTTCCGTTATTAAATACCAGTAATAAGCGATTAACATTCAATTGTTTTGTATAAAAGATTTAAGGGACGCCATATGAAATTTTTTGATATTTTTCCAAGTTGGTTTTTTTACCTAATAATAATAATTAACTATAACTTTATTTGTATATAATATATTAGAGAAAATTTACAGAATAAGATTATTAAATACATAATTTATATAAGACTCGATCACGCAACAACCAAAAAATGTTTTCCACTGAAAGTGAAAGTCACTTAAAATCATTCACACCTACTCGACGTCTCAGAGAAATTGTTTTCAATTTGTTTCTAATAAGATTTAAACAATGGTGCAAGAGATTCATTATCATTATTTAAAAGTGAATAAACATTTTACTGAATAACATATATTTTGTACATTTATATACAGGGTTGTTTTCTTTTTCAAACCAACACAAATCAGCTCCCATCCGATTCGTTTTAGTTTGCCCAATTGAAATAACGTCTCTCAGACGAAGAGAAAAATAAAAGTTTTGTAATATTAACACAATTTGTACAATCAAAGAAATAATAATCAATAAGTACAGCACGTTTAATAATAGAGATGTGTGGGTGTTAATTAAAGAATTATTACATTATTTTCTTATTAAATATTAATAGAGAGATAGAATGAATGTATGTATGATGTAATAATAATAATATTATTACTGTAATATTATAGTAAAAAGGCTTTTTACTCGATAACAATATTTGATTAAAAATACGTTGTATAAATTTTTCAGCTCCTCTAAAAAAATTATACAAACACCAAGAGCCTTTTAGAATTAATGCTGTTACAAAATCACTGGAGTGTGAGGCTTAAAACCTTAATATCACCAAAGTTTAAGCTCTACTCACACTCCATATTTTATTTGAAGCAATATTATCTTTAAATTAACACACAATGCGCGAAAAAACGATGGATGAATACGAAGATTTGAGGCGACAGGAGAAGTCTATGGCACGCTTTAATATATCACTCAACACGCATGCGTACAGCTAAGGCCAGCTCGCTGGTTCACACTGACATTGTCCTACTACTCCTACTATAGGGAATAAATTGCTCATTTACACTACAAAACACATAATTTTGATTTTTTTTACAAAGTACAGACAATTGTTGTTTTGTATTTTGAAAAACTACTTTGTTGTTGCTCAAAACGGAATAAAGATTGTAAGTATTTAAATGTCATTGACAATACAGCAAAACAGTGGCGTAGCCAGGATTTTGTCTTGGGGGGGGCAAATTTGCAGGAAGCGTCTTTTGCGGCCCTACCGCGACCGCTGCCGGAGGCAAAGCGCCGCAGGCGCGAAATTTTTGGGTGCCACGCCCCTTTTTCAGGTTTCTTTACGCTATTTTTGGGACTGTTTATCTTAATTTTGAAGAAATATTCATAAAATTTAAGGGTCTTGGGGGGGGGAAAATGCCCCCTTGCCCCCCCCCTGGCTACGCCAGTGCAGCAAAACCAGAACTCACTCTGTTACGATAATAATAATTATTAAAAATTACAAAAATACTTGCAGTAGAGGTAGTTTTCCAAAAATACTGTTCAAGTTCAGTAAGCATACAATAAAAGGTAGGTACAATTCCTACAGCTATTTTTTTTTTTTTTTTTGGTTTGTTAACAATAAATTTTCCATTAAAATTACATAAACACCTACGAACTCTTTCTACTAAGTAGTACGTGGTTTATATCATATTTGTGTAATTCAAGATTCAAGAATAGAGATAAGTAACATGGAATGTAAAAGGCCACTTTTAAAACAGAACTAAATTATGTAAAGTCAATAATGAGTAGTAGTAGGCACATTATATGTCATAATTACGCAATATAACAAACAAAACTTGGTCGATAGTTAAGAGTGTGTAAGTAGAAATGAAATTAAAGGACATTGGAGCAGTGTGTAAGAGCGAGACGAAGGGCGCGGCGTTGTACGCGAGCGACAAAGATGAAAAAAAGCATCGTCAGACCAGCTAATAGTTGCTTCAGTTGAGTAACGAACCCGTCAGCCCACAATGACTTAATGTGGTATGGTTTACTTATCAATAGGAGTCGCCGCTGCGCTGAGGGAACTATGGAATCCCTATCCAAAAAAAAAAAAAATAGATAATTTGAAAATAACACACTTGAATCCTACCTGCAGTAGAAAAATAGTCACAGTGGCTTTTCCTAGGTTGCAGTCTCCGCAGCTCACGAGTGCGCGTTGGCTTGCGCCGCCGACGTGGGCGTGTGATTCGACTGCTGCGCCGGTGCTGCGCCTGGCTCTTCGGCGGCGGGCGACGGAGGCGCGTCTTTACGCGGTGGCATACGCTCATTGATAGCGTCCAAGCCTTTGGCTTCGGCGAAACTCGTTATTTTGTGGTTGGGCGAGAAACCTTGCAGAGCTGGAATTTATATAAGTAAAAAATTACACTGTATATAGAAGATTGCTGTGAAATTAAATATTTTTTAATGCTTTTGTTGACATCTGAATATTTGATAGATATTTGCATTGTCAGAGTTTCTGAAATTGTGTTGTTAAAAGTATACACTGTGTCCGTAAAGTAACAGATAAATTCATGTATTTTTTTTTTTTTTTTTTTTTTGAAAAATGCTCGGACACGTCGATCTTAATTTTTAGGGGCGCTATTTTTCAACTAATTTGTATTTATACAAGGTGGCCGAAAAAAGAGATGTCGCATGACACTTCAATTTTTTAAATGGATTAATCTGATGTATATTTTAATGAATATCGACTAGAGAAAGAATTCATCTTGATGCGCTCTATTAATATTCATCAAAATATACAGGGCATTTCATTTAAAAATTTGAAGTGTCACGTGATATCTCTTTTTTAGGCCACCTTAAATAAATACAAATTAGTTTGAAAACAGCGCCACTAATCATTAAGATTGACGTGAGGAAGAATGAAGAAAGTTTATTTAAAGAACCAATAAATAAAGTTGAAATTTCAATAAAGATTAAAAAAGAATTTTTGTTTATGTATGTACAGGGTGGCCCATTTTCGATGTTTTAATGGGCTATATCAAAAACCAGTAGATATATCTAAAATCTGGTAGCACATTCTCGAGCTCTTTTTTTGGGAAAATAACAATGGCGAAGACAAATCACGGCTAACTTGATGCGTTTAGGAAATACAGGGCACTTTTCAAATTTTGTCCAATTTTAAAAGAGTCCCTAATTTCCTTATTATTCAAGATATCTAAAAACGAAAAATACTTTCTATAGGCAGTTTTTCAAGTAGAATCCAGTGGCATGACAGATTTTTTTCCAGATGCCACTGATTTTGGAATATTGACCAAAGTTGTGTTTTTTTAAATGGGACACCCCGTATATTATTTTTTCATTGAATAGCTCTTTGTGAGCTGATTTCAATGATATAAGGTTTTATAACTTCACCATCAGTAATTTTGGAGAAAAAAAATAAATTCCGTTTTTTCCATAAGAAACAATGAGTTGGAAAGAGATAGTTGAACTATGAATCGGCTACAAATATCATTGAAATCAGCTCACAAAGAGCAATTCAATAAAAAAATAATATACGGGGTGTCCCATTTAAAAAAACACAACTTTGGTCAATATTCCAAAATCGGAGGCATCTAGAGAAAAATTGGTCATACCACTGGATTCTCCTTGAAAAACTGCCTCTAAAAAGTATTTTTCGTTTTTGGATATCTTAAATAATAAGGAAATTAGAGAGTCTTTTAAAATTGGACAAAATTTGAAAAGCGTCCTGTATTTCCTAAATGCATCAAGTTAGTCGTGATTTGTCTTCGCCATTGTTATTTTCTCAAAAAAAAGAGCTCGAGAATGTGCTCCCAGATTTTTGATATCTTTGCTGGTTTTCGATATAGCCTATTAAAACATCAAAAATGGGCCACCCTGTTGGAGTTTTTTTAAATATTGACACCCCACCTACAGCCTATTACCTTTACAGATAAAAGAAAAGTATAAATACCTACAAAAGTTGTACAGCTGTATGCAACATCCTCTTTTAACCTAAAAGCGCTTTTAAAAATGTGTATTCTATGCCATAGAAATTTTTAAAGGTACCAGTTTTAAAGAGCGCTTTTAAGTTAGAAGAGGATGTTGCATATAGCTGGTACAGTTTTGGCTGAATTTTTAGAAACCATGTTCAGAAACAAAATTTGAATGTTAGAAATGTGAAATTTTGCATGCTTCTAGCTTTTTCCAAATGGGATGCCCTATATTTCATTCTATATTCCTAGAGAGCGCAATGCCCCGATTCCAAAAAGATATAGTTTGTCTATATTTGATTGAACAGTCTGTCATATATTCGGTTCCAAAAATTGTAAAGATACTATTATATCCTACTACCTACTACTGATTTTTGTGAACCATATTCTACCTGAACAGGTGAAACTGTAGGTAAAATTTGAGGAACTTGGTTTCTCTGATAGTATTTTTAAAATTTTTAAAATTAGATATGTTGGAGACGGCTCAACCAAATACAGACAAACTATATAGATGCGGAGTTATTGGTTGGTAATAGGTCAGTAAAACAGCTTAGAGAATTAAATTTGTTGTATTGACCAACGTTTCGACCAATATATAGTCATCTTCGGGCATAGGCGCCGGAACTATGGGGGCAAGGTAGTGAATTTGCTAGGGGCTCTGCCCCCATAGTGATTCTGGTATTGGATGTAGTGAGTTTAATGGGTAGGTACAGTAGGGTGATCTAAGATTGATCTCACGAGGGTTTCTACTTATGACATCGATAATCTCATAACTTAGAAAAAAAAAGGAAGGCAAAAGTACAAACTCTTGTGAAAGAAACAGTATTCTAAATGTCATCCCGTCCTAACCCGTTGGATTTGCCGTTTTTGGCAGAAGTGTCAAATACAAAAGCTTCAAGAAGTTCTCAAAAGTCTTTAACTACGTTAGTTTTAAGCATACAGGGTGCGTCAAAAAAGTGTAACAGAGCGAAGTTATACTTTTTCAAATGGAACACCCATGTATATTGTGCACTTATGCGGTAGTCCCCTTTAACCTGATTTCGACGATATACGGTTTGATATGTTTATCTTTAATAGTTATAGGAAAAAACACGAAAATCTCTTCATAGGTCTTATGTTAACTCATTCAATGACACCCGCGGCATTTGCCGTCATAGCCACTATGTCGAAAACGGCACCAAAAATATGGGTGTGCGCTCAGAAAGACACCTTGATATGCTGCATGTATTAAACCGGGTGGTTCCGGGGACGTTGATTATACTATCCATTCTAAATATATATTTTTGAGTTTCCAATACGGCACCCTAACACCAAATCTACGCTAAATCGACGGCATACAACGCTAGCTCCGTCAGGAGCTTAATAGACTAGGACCAAAAAAAGGAAATGCGTCATATAACGTCAGCGCCCGCATTCGCATTATGACGTTGGCGGGAAATGCCGTTACTACTGCCCGTTAAAAATATGTCAACAAAATCAGGTGTCATTAAATGTGTTAATTCTTTTAAATAATAATAACTCAAAACAAATGAATACTGAATTTATTTGAAACTAATTTTTTAACCAATGAAATTCACTCTGACTGGTTTGTGATTGCTATGTGCGAACAGGCCTCATATATCGTTGAAATCAGATTGGAAGGGACTAACAAATGAGCGCACAATATACATGGTGTTCTATTTAAAAAAAATATGACTTCGCTCTGCTACTCTTTTTTGACGCACCCTGTATGCTTGATACTGACTTAGACAATTTTTGAATTTCTTGAAATGTTTGCATGTGACACTTTTGTCGAAAACGTCAAATGATTAAGTTAGGAAGGGGTGACATTCATAGATCTATTTTTGCAGAAATCACAAACCAGTCAAAGTGACTTTCATTGGTTGAAACTAGTTTTCTGACTGGTTTCAACCAATGAAATTCGCTCTGACTGGTTTGTGATTTCTGCAGAAACAGACCTTATAATAGATCACCTTGTTCAAAAATATTGAGTTCCCAATTATTTATTTTTCTGTCAAATATGTGTTTTATGTTTTTGTTGTTTTTGTTATGCCTACTTTAACAAATAATTTGAATATTTTGTTGTGTATTATTTAAAGCTGTATTTTCAAAAAGTCGGATTGGGATTATAGGTCGCGTTCACCAGCATTCAAAATGTTGAGTGCTGGTGAACTCGACCATTATATTATTTTCGTTTTTTTTTTTATATGTTTACATTTTCACATCACATGAATATAAACACCATGAATGCAATGGCTTTTTTCACCTAGTAAATCATGGAAAATTTATATACAGATAGGATCATCCTACTAGACACATATTTAGATAATAAGACGAATTAGCTTCTACCCGGTTAAGGCGAATCGAAGCGGTGCGAATTTCAATAATATGCAGAGATGATCATTTATCCAGCATGGCGATCCTGCAGTCAAATGTGTATCAGTCAACTGATCCCATTTAAGCCTATGTGTCTAGTAGCCTACTGGTCCTGTCTGTATAATTTTACTTGTGTTTTTTTTGGAGCCCGAGCCCCCATAGTAATTTTGAAGTTCCGGCGCCTATGATCCTAAAATAGGTATATCATTATCATAGTGACAATTTTTTTAGAGTTGATTATTTTCATAGGTCTCACACTCCGTTTATGCTTTCCTATCCTTGTCTTAAGATACCGACCTGTCTGTCCCACATAGTTCCATCACAAGAGGAACAAGGTATTTTATAGATTACACGTTTCTTTGTTGATGCTGTGGAGTGGTTTTTTTTAAGTTTAGTGAAAGGTTTAGATACCTTTTTTTCATTTTTAAAAGCAATAATGGTGTCTTCAGTTCTTAATTCTTTTGCTATTTTTTCCGAGAGATGCTTGACATATGGAATTTTAAGATAGATCTTGCGAGATTTGTCTTGTGTATGGATCCAAAAAGTATTTTGCTGCTAAGTTCTTACGTCAGTTCTTCCAATACTTAAATCTTCTGAATGGTTTAGCTATCTCACCCTTAATTTTATGTCACTATTTGTCACTATGTTTTATACTGTTTATTGTTTGTAAAAAAAAATTTGTGACTATAATATACCTATTTTAGGATCCTGAGGATGACCATATATTGGTCGAAACGTTGGTCAATCCAACAAATTTAATTCTCTAAGCTGTTTTACTGACCTATTACCAACCAACAAAAAAAAACATCCAGAAAACTATATACACTGCCGAGCATAAAATTAGGGTCATCCCATAATTTGCAAGCAAAACTTGGGAGAATACAACAAGAACTTTTTCAAATTCAAGCAACTACGACAAAATCATCGCATAAAGTTAGTGAACTTTACACCAAAAAAGAAACAATTCACAAAAACCAAAAATTTTAAAAATAATTGCAAATTATGGGGTGACCTCAATTTTATGCTCAGCAGTGTAGTTTTGGAATCGGGAAATTGTGCTTCTCAAGAATATAGAAGCAAATATAGGGCATCCTATTTGAAAAAAGCTGAAAGCATGCAACATTTCACATTTCAGACATTCAATTTTTGTTTCTGACCATGGATTCTAAAAATTCAGCCAATACTGTACAACTTTTGTATTTACAGCTTTCATCTCTTGTAAAGGTGAAGGCTGTAGGTAGGGTGTCAATATATAAAAAAAACACCCTGTACTTGAACAATAACTTATTATATGAAATCAGAATTTGTAAGATTATCCACTTTTTGTCAATTTGCCTTTTAACAGGAATAAGTAATGTTACTTTAGTAAACTAGTAACATAATGTGACAAGTTATTCAAGTACAAACGAGTGGATTGTTGCGGAACTTATGGGTGGATCTAATCACCAATATGTTGTTCAAGTACAATACTAACCTGATTCACTCAGTTGTGAATATTTCTCATTAGTTCAGAAACTACACGTTTCAGGTGAGTGTCTTATTTGAACAGTTCAACAGTAAATTAGTGAGTAGATGGCTGCGGAACTCGCTGCGCTCGTCCCGCAGAGGTCCACCCATAAGTTCCGCAATAATCTACGTATTTGTACTTGAACAATAACTTATTATATGAAATCAGAATTTGTAAGATTATCCACTTTTTGTCAATTTGCCTTTTAACAGGAATAAGTAATGTTACTTTAGTAAACTAGTAACATAATGTGACAAGTTATTCAAGTACAAACGAGTGGATTGTTGCGGAACTTATGGGTGGATCTAATCACCAATATGTTGTTCAAGTACAATACTAACCTGATTCACTCAGTTGTGAATATTTCTCATTAGTTCAGAAACTACACGTTTCAGGTGAGTGTCTTATTTGAACAGTTCAACAGTAAATTAGTGAGTAGATGGCTGCGGAACTCGCTGCGCTCGTCCCGCAGAGGTCCACCCATAAGTTCCGCAATAATCTACGTATTTGTACTTGAATAATAACTTATTATATGAAATCAGAATTTGTAAGATTATCCACTTTTTGTCAATTTGCCTTTTAACAGGAATAAGTAATGTTACTTTAGTAAACTAGTAACATAATGTGACAAGTTATTCAAGTACAAACGAGTGGATTGTTGCGGAACTTATGGGTGGATCTAATCACCAATATGTTGTTCAAGTACAATACTAACCTGATTCACTCAGTTGTGAATATTTCTCATTAGTTCAGAAACTACACGTTTCAGGTGAGTGTCTTATTTGAACAGTTCAACAGTAAATTAGTGAGTAGATGGCTGCGGAACTCGCTGCGCTCGTCCCGCAGAGGTCCACCCATAAGTTCCGCAATAATCTACTTATTTGTACAGGGTGTTTTTTTTTTATATATATTGACACCCCACCTACAGTCTTCACCTTTACAGGTAGAAGGAAGGTGTAAATACAAAAGCTGTACAGTTTTGGGTGAATTTTCAGAAATCGTGGTCAGAAAAAAAAAATTTGAATGTCAGAAATGTGAAATTTTGCATTCTTTTAGCTTCTTTTAAAAAGGATACCCCATATTTCATTCTATATTCTTGAAGAGCCCAAGAAATTTCTCATAAAGTGTGTTTTTTTTTTTTAAGATAAAAGTCAAAATGACATTATATTGGCAATACAATGTAAAATTGTCAATGCTTCCAAATTTTTTATGTGGAAAAGGCTTGTGTTGCTAACCTATATAGGTGAAAGCTGCAGGTAAAATTTGAGGTACTTGGTTTCTCTGATAGTATTTTTACAATTTTTGAAACCAAATATGTTGGAGACGGCTCAACCAAATATAGACAAAACTATATAGTTTTGGAATCGGGAAATTATGCTCTTCAAGAATATAGAACCAAATATAGCGCATCCCATTTGAAAAAAGCTGAAAGTATGCAATACTTCACATTTCTGACATTCAATTTTTATTTCTGACCATCGATTTTAAAAATTTAGCCAATACTGTACAACTTTTGTATTCACACTTTTTATCTACCTGTAAAGGTAAAGGCTATAGATGGGGTGTCAATATATAAAAAAACACCCTGTACGTCTATGGACCTTCTGAACCTTTACACACTAAGTATATTATAGAGCAGTGGCAAGGGTAGGATTATGCCTATTTTGACTGGGTGCATGAGGATCAAAATAGGGGTGAAGCTTGGAAAACAGTGCCATAATGTTCACAGGAGAAGTCTATAATACAAATTGGAGATCCCTAAAGTTTCAACGAGTGTGTGTCACTAACACAAATATTTTCGCCTTATTTTTTGGGTAAAAGTATAGTGTACTCTTTCTTAATCGAAAATCACTTACCATTTTTAAGGCTCGTCTTTCCACCTGATAGGGCGCCCAAAGGTAAGGCCCCAGTCGGCGTAAGCCCCTTGAGCTGGAGTACAGATTCGCTTTCCTCCCTGCAAATTGACGATTTAATAATTAATGAATTGTTGTAAATCACAATTTTTCAATCTAATATAGACCAGACCAACCTACTACCTACTAGACACATGGACGAATTAGCTTAATAGTGTACCCAAATTAGGCGATAAATTTTAATAACATGCAGGAACGATCAATGATCCACCATGAAAATCTTGCTTAGAGTTTAGTAGCCTGATCCTGTCTGTATATCAGTTCGAAATACTTACCTTAAGACAGAGAATACACGGGCCATTTTACCAATTGCCCTAATTTTATTCCGTATAACTTCCTTTCGTAAGTTAGCTGCTGCACCTAAGAAAATAATAAAAATATTTAATATTGGAAAAGTATTTAGTTATAGCGCTAGTGAAAAGTAAGAAAAATGAAATGGATTGTATTACTAAAATGAAAAAATCTGATTCCATAGAAATAGGTAAACTTCATAAGTAAAAACAATAGTGTAAAGCACTAAGCTAGAAGAAGAAAAGTTGAAAAATAATAAAACATGCCTTAGGAAATTACTTTGATGTAATATAAGTAACAAGTAACCCAATGTTTTTCAAATATTTCATAAAATACAATTTTGGATTTTTGTTCTATTTTTGTATTTTCAAACCAATAATTGGGTTCAAATCGAGCGGCCAGAATGACCACGTATATCTCGTAAAATATGAAAAATCCCATCAGTTCGAATTTTACGAGTTTTCCAGAATTGATGGCCAAAAGCTCGAAATAACATTCCACGAATAATTCAAAATTAATATTCGTGAAATTGTCGAAAATAATTTATGAAATATTTGACATAAAACTGAATGTATAAATAGGAAAAAAGAAAAATATCCTTTGAACTTACCAGAATGATAATGTGACGTCAACAACACAGGATAATTCGTCGTTGTGTAGGCGAATGTTTGATTCGGTCAGCCACGCAAAGAGTGCGATGAGCGCAGAAGTATAGAAAAAAAATAAAAACAAACGGTGCATATAGAAAACTGTAGCGTCTTCAAAATGTATTTCCAAAAGAAAAACAAAAAAAAAAAAAACCTCAAAATTGTTGAAATAAGTTTCACATGGATCTTATACCAACATACTTTTGAGAATAAAATGAAAAAATTATTTAGTTATTTAAAACAAAAATCAGCCAAATGATTGGCAAGCAGACCACAAAAGAAAAAACGTAAAAGCGAAATGCGCTTATATTATAACAATAATAATTTTGCAGCGGTGAATAATAATAATAATTAATCAATATTCACTGCTACAGTAAATTAAGAAAAAAAATAAGTAAAATCTAAAACTGATGTTTAATTAATTTACGAAACTGCTCTTACAGGGAGTAGTAATAATGCCAAATATATTTAAAACATTTACAGAACAAAAATATTCAAATTAACTAATGCATCATGCTTATTACTACGTTCTAAACAGTTTAGAAAACAAAATTCAAATGATAAAAGGACAAAACGAATCAACTACAATGGAATATGGTGGAGAGTTTAGTTTACTTTATTGAAAATAAAAAAATAGAAAGAAGATCTTTAATCCCGAATACTTGAGTGAAAAGTTAATCGCGAAAAGCGGCGTTTTGAAGTTAAATTTTCTTATAGCTGTCATTATCAGTTTTTTTGCTATCTTTATTTTTTTCAAACTGGGATCAAGTATATGCATATACATTATTATTACTTAGATACCTTAATGTTTTCATTTGGAAAGTATAGTATTTTTAAAGTCAAGTCAGTTGAAACAAGGTAAAGGTAAATCACAACAACTGGTGATTGAATATTTTCATAAGAAATGCACTGCCACTAATCAGCCACCAGTTGCAATTTATTTTTACCTTGTTTCAATTGACTTTACTAAGACTACAAACATCATTAACTTGTTTGCTTAACTAGAGGAAGTCTACAATATTATGGTGTGCAAATTGCATAGGTACTGTATATATTATTTTTGCATTTCAAAACTACGATAAAGTTATAATAAGAGTTGGAGCAAGTTGACTTATACAGGGTGTATCAGGTTTGAGTGCAAATATTTCAGCATGTGAGTTAAACCTGATACACCCTGTATTTTCGTTGGATATAGTTTGATATTGAAATAGAATTTGAAGATGTTAGCAAAACCAATAGTGCTCAGCTATAAAGAAGCTCAAAAAAAGTCAGTCAAAAACCAAAAAAAAAAAAAAAAAAACACGCTTTTATTAATTTGTTTTGTTGTTTTTGAAAAATAAAACGCGAATAATGAATGCAGTGTTATCGAAACTCCTCTGTTCAAGCTCTGCACGTTCCGTGAAAACTTACCAGGTTTTTTATTAACAATTTTAGCCTGTTTCGCTGTTCGGGTATTGCGATCCAAGCCGAATATAGACGAGAAATAAAGTGAAAAATAGAAGTGTCAGAATAGGGAAAAATATAAAGCAAAATACGGGGGGAGTGCGGTTAAAATTGGTGTGTGAAAAAGGGGAGCAAATTTTTTTACTATAATCCTGGAGACAAAGCGATGTCAATATTTAAAAAATTTCTTCAGCTTTATTATTTCATCGTCTTCGGCTTTAGGACTATAATTAATTGCAAAATGAATCTTATAGGAGTGAAAAATTTCAAAAGTGCCGTCGATATTATGCGGTGCTTTTATAACAAAATGATGTTATAGAAATATAGTAAAAGACAAGATGCTACTTGGTGGTTTGTACGAAAAAACACATTAGGAAAAAAGACAAAAACATTCAAAACATTTTCTTGTCAAACCGTGTTTGGGGGAATAAGTGGAAAATAAAAAAAAATCTATGAATAAATACAGGATGTTTTGAAAGAAATATTTTTTCCAAGAAAACAGTCCTATATATTTTTGTATATTTGGCAATATTTTTAAGCAAATCTCATGTTAGAATAATTACGAACTAAAAATTTAAACTGATGGGTTTTAGGCAATGATATATTAACACAGATAGACATTACAGTAAACAAAATTTTGTGTGAGATTCAGTGTCTATCTATGTCAAGATGTCATTGAACTATTAATGCCACGATCTTGATTGAAAAAATAAACAAACTTATAACAAAGAAAAAAAAATCAAATTGCGCAGCATTGGAGGTTTAAACTTCTATGTAAATCGAAGCGTTGGGTCACGATATAGAACAAGTTGCGTTTTTGTTGAAAAGAATGTTTATAGCATGTCCTAACGCTTCTAAATCGACAATTACAAAAAATAATAATAATAACTATACAGGCAGCTAGTCTACGGTAGTCAAAAAGCAGCGCAATATGCTGTATGACGTACCTAGAATTATTATTAACGGAACAAATTATGAATTGATTTTTTGTTCTAAGTACGTCAAAGGCGATATGGAATTGTTTTTTGAGGGAGAAAATGGGAATCTGATCCTTACCATCTGATTACATCCAAGTAGCATTGAGATAAATAATAAAGAAAAAAATATGTTTTTGATAAATCGATTCAGTAATAATTAATTTATTGATGATGAAAAAATAAGCGTGAACTGTTAAATTATTTTATGTTCACTGTATGCGGTGTATAAATGAATGAAAATCAGGGTAGCCCAAGAAATTTATACCGGGGCCGTAAAAAATTTTGCGAGGGCAGGCTGATTGGGGAGTGTGTCCTGAGTATTGAGCCAAAAAATCACACTCGAAACCTTGTGCGATCGGTCCAATTGGCCTTTTTCTTATTTATTTTTTTTTGACAAAATGACCTTTACAAAACTTGTAGATAATTACATTCTGATCAGCTTTGCCTCATGACTTTTTTTGCTAGCTATTTTACTTTAGGCGCTGTGGTCATTTTAGTACTTCAGAATTCGCAAAAAAATTAAATAGCAAACCTGCAGATTATTATACCTAATAAAATTCTCTATTACTTTGCTTGATGATATTTTATTGTAACTTTATTTCTTTCGCTTGTACGGCCTTTTAGGCATTTGAAAAATTTTATTTGACCTCTGGTGGACATTGTGGCATGCATAGCGGATTTGACACATTTTGCAGGTGAAATGTGGCGTTTCGCGAAATTGAATTTCGCATTTGATAAAAAATAGCTCAGGTTCAAAGAAACCAGCAAGTGCTTTTACTACTTTGCCGGTCTAGAGCGACAAAGTGAAGGATTTTGACGTAGTTTGACGCTCTAAAGCGGCAAAGTGAAGGTCATCAGGAAACGTCTACTTTGCGAACACAAATCTAATCGACAAAGTCTACTTTCTAGGCCGATTGTACAAAAAAAAAACATTTTGTCACTTTTCAAACAAGTAGAGTAAGAATCAAACGAGAAGAAGCCACACGCGTTATCGTTTGTCTCACTTTAAATGGGAGGCACCCAAAGAAAAGGAAATCTGCCTTCTTTGTCAGCGCTGACGTCAATGGCTTCTTCTCGTTTTATTTATACTCTAACAGGTCCCAAATATTGTCAAAAAAAAAACATCATTTTGATTTCACACTTTCACTCCAGGAAAATAATTTCACCGGATTAGTGATGTAATGTATCATTTCTTGGACTGAAACCGAAAACGTAATGGAGTACATTACCAGTAATTTTATTAAAGTTACAATAATCTGCAGGTTTGCTATTTAATTTTTTGGCGAATTCTGGAGCACTAAAATGGCCGCAACGCCTAAACTAAAATAGCTAGCAAAAAAAGGCATGAGGCAAAGTTGATCAGAATGTTATTATCTACAAGTTTTGTAAAGGTCATTTTGTCGAAAAAAAAATAAATAAATAAGAAAAAGGCCAATAGGGCTGAACGCATAAGGTTTTCGAGTGTGATTTTTTGGCTCAATACTCAGGACACAGTCTCCATCAATCAGCCCTGAAAAAATCAGCAAATTTTTTTGAAAAACCCATAAATTTCTTGGGCTAGGGGGGCAAAATATATTTTTTGCCTTGCCCCTAAACAGTTTGTGACTTATATAATTTTGCATTAGATGATAAATTATATCAACATTTGTCGAGGTAGTTGCTTAAATGAATGAAATATTAAATGTTAGTTTTGTAAGAAAAATAAAACAAAATGTGAGGGCTGGAAAGAAAACTGTTGTTTTATTTTTTTCGCAACTACCTCAATAATTGAACACATTTTTATATGAAGCGTTATTCAATATTAAAGTCAAATAATTGACTTTACTAGAAACAATTTTTGCTGCGCACAAGCAAAGACACTCACCTTCTTCTAGCGCATCGTCGCCGTCCGACACCAGCTCATCGTCTGAGCAAATGTTGAGCACGTTGACGAGCATTTCCGTAACTTTTTCACCGACAAAGGGCAACGACCACGTGAACACATCCATAAAGTTGGGCAGCCAATAAGGATGCTGCGAAAAGTTGAACTGGCGAATGTTCATCACGTTGTTTTCGTATTTCAGTACGGCCGCCTATAAATTCAAACAATCTATTTTGAACTCCATAATGGCGATAAACGGCGATGAGCCATTTCCCATCAACTGCATGTCAGTAAAATTTAATAAGGCAATTTAGTTCAACACGCCGGACTTAATTAACTGGCTGAATATAGAGTCGGAGGCAATTGAACATGAAAACTCACCTTATTATTATAAACATCCAGATAATTGGGCGCCGAGAATATCGTAATTAGGGAAGGAAATCCGGTAGTTTGACTTTTTCTGTACATTCTATATCTGTAACACAAAGATTGAATTGAAACTTCAAATAATTAATCGCATATCTTTAGAGCATTTCGTGGAATTTAATAGTTGCTACTTATTTCTGAACAAGTTATATTGTAAAACCCTATGTTATCATTATACTAATAATTCTCCTTTTCTATGTTAATTATAAGCGTACGCCTCTGTCAAAACTTATAATAATGTAAAACTGCTTAATCAGCGGTACTGCACTGGTAGTACCACCATTCCGCCTACGTAAATGCTGCATCGGCAGTTATTTCTATAAATGTTTTTTAAAAATACACACGTGTTTTTATGTACGAAAAAAAAAGTAATCTCGCAACAAGTCGAATCTCATCAACATTAGTCATCGTAATCTGATTCGTTGGTTGGAATTGAGTTTCACAGAGGGCTTCATTACGGATTGCCTCCCTTTTAGATAAAAAGTTTACGATTCTATTAAATTGTCTCCTTCCATTTTAACGCGATTTTATTTTTGGAACCATAAGTCCAAATGAGCTGAAATATCAGGGACTGTAGTGTAGTCCTCTACTAAAATAAGAAACGCTGAAAATTTCAGCTTTCTATCTATAATGAAAAAAAAGTTTATCATCTTTCAAAGTTTTTAGAGATCTAAATCATAATATAAGGTAGCCGATTATGAAACCAATACCTAAGACATCTGAAATCTGGTGATCTATCAAAAGATGAATGCGAAAAAAAAATAAAAATCCAATGTGAAGCTTATTTTTTCACATTTTCAACCCCTAAACCCGTACTGATTTTGAAACCAATAAGACACAATGTTAAAAGAGACAGTACTAATAATCTGTTAAAAGATGAATGTATGGAACCCCATCCGAAGTCTTGAGAAAAAAATAAAAACCCAATTTGAAGCTAATTTTTTCATATTTTCCACACCTCATGCCATACCGATTTTGAAACCAATAAGACAGTGCCAATGATTTTTTTGTAAAAAAAATAATAGCATGAAAACTGATGAGAAAAGAAGAAAACATAGCGGAAACAACGGAAAAAATAAATTAAACTGAATCCAAGTTACAAGTGTGTTCGAGGTGAAAAATGGTTTTTCAAGATTTCCAGCGAAACTACATCTCCTACCGGAAAAAGTTGAATATAAAAGTTGTAGGTAATAAAAAGGTCTACAACTTTTGTATAAACCATTTTTTCACATAACCTAAAATTTTCAGAGAAAACCCGAAAAACCGATTTTTTTGTTTTTGATTTCTATCACCCACAAAATTTGGTGAAAGCTTACCTTTTTATGCCCCAAACACGCTGTAATTTTTTTTTATTCAAAATATTTATTTCTACATTTTATTTTGATTTTAAACCTAAAAAAAGGCCTCAGTTTCATCCGAAACTGCCCAAGTCCTGGAGAAAGTTTTTAGAGAAAAAACAGAGTGATCTTTTTTTTTTTTTGTTGAAACGTCTACTTTAAAATGGTGTAGAAAAAATTAACAGTTCTATGGAAAAAATTGGCAGAAAATGCGAAAAACTGAAAAATAGTTATATATTATACAAGGAAAAAAAGTACTAGAACGAGAAGCATGCGCGCAGAGACTGTTTTCCTGCATGAGCACTGCCCCCATGTCATTTTTGGAACTGTCCACTGAAATTGTTGTGGGTTTTTCCATGTCAAAATATCTCAAACATGGACTTTTACAAAATATGTTCTTTAATTCAACAAATACAAGACTTAATATTGACATGTAACACCTGTGTCACGTTCTTAAAATCCCAGCAACCAAAGCCGATGATCCCTCACAAAATTGGAAAAATTCCCTGGTCAAAGGTTGCATAGTGATCTCTATCATTTGGCAGGTCAAGTTTATATCATAATTGTTGATTATTATAGTAAATTTTTTGAGGAAATTAATTTGCATAAAGATCTAACATCTAATAACATATAATGTAAATTAAAATCAATTTTTTTAAGACAGGGAATTCTCAGAAAAATTATGACTGATAAGAGTTTTCCATTTAGTGGGAGTTAGAATACATCGTATCTTCATCAAGATATCCACAAAGTAATGGCCAAGTGGAAAGGTTTGTCCAAACAATTAAAAACACCTCAAAAAAGTGTTTGCATGATAATCAAGATCCTTATTTGGCACTTGTCAGTAACACACCAGTGGATGGAAATCATTCTCCTTCTGTCATTCTGAATAATAGACCTTTGAGAGATTTTTTGCCTAATATAAAATCTAAAATTAGGAACAATTTTGACAGGCGTAGTTACCATGATTTTTTAGAATTTTCTCAAGAAAAACAGAAATCATTGTATGATAGGGAAGCAAAGCCATTAACATCTTCAAAACCAAATTCATCGGTTAGGGTTCAATTAAAACCAGGACATACCTGGACAATCGCGAAAATAATTAAAAAGGTTGAAATTCGATCATACAAAATACAACTTGCTAATGGCTCTGTGTTAATTAGAAATAGAAGGTTTTTGGAGAAATGTAGATTTCAAGGCAATAGGGTTTCGGACCGGCAGAAGGAAATTCCACCAAAATTGAGCACAAAAAACTCAGCTGAAACCCTTGGAACATCAATATATCCCCGTTTTGGAAAAATTTCATGAAGCTGAGCCAGTTGAGCACGAAATGTTAGAGAGAAACACTTAGTGCGCTAATGACACACTTGATAATTCAAATTTAGATTCTTCTCAAAAGGGAAATCGCCTCTCTTAGGACAAATCTGCAAATCAAAAGGCTCTTGCAACTGCAAGTAAGACTTCATTTTCAGAAGTTCAACCAACTTCCAACCTCAAAACTACTCGACTTGGACGCACTATCAAGAATCTTTTACGAAATTATATAGTTCCTACATCCTGTATAGACTTTTTTTTAGTAGGTTTTCTAGTACATACTGTATGTTCAGTTTCGTCTACACGCCCTGTATATAGTTGTGTATTATTTAGAATGTTAAATACTATTTGGGAATGGAAATTGACTTGATTTATTTTATTTTTTGTTTTCTCTTATTCTAATTGAATTAATTGCGCGTGCTCTATGCCTAAGAATAATACGGCTTTGCTAAATTTGGCTTTTAAAAATGCGCACGTTAAAACACTGAAAAGGGTACCGGCAAGTCCTGACACTTCCTGCTGACAAGCAGTCAGTACCAGTTGCCAAAAACACTTTGCCCGCAAGTACAAGTACCAATGTTTGGATTAGTATTTAAGTCAAATACTTAAGTATATTTTTGTACTTAAGTATTTAAAATACTCAGTACAACAGCTCTGTACGCATGGGACCTGAACTTCCTGAATGAGCTGGCCAGCTGAGTGGAGTTTGGAAGTAGAGCAAGGTAAGGTAAAAAAATATCCTTTTCAGTTTCGATATCTTTCAATTTCATTATGAAATCTTATTTCATCGATCACCATTTCTATCAGCAAGCTGTGAATTTTCCAGTTTTAATTATGCACATTGTATAGACTTTCAAGAAACAATAAAATGAAACAATCTTTTTTTTTAGTGGTTAGGGAAGAAGAATTCATGACAAGTTTGTTTGTGATATATGTAATGTAAGACTGTTATTATACATACAATTAAATGTTCAATATTATACAAAAAAAAAATGTAAAGTGACAAATTACTAACATTAGTGTAGTAGTTATAGTACTAATAATGTGAAAATTTTGGATTAATTTTCGGCGCTTTCCTATTTACAGACGCGTTTCGAGGAAAGCAAAGAAAACCAATCCAAGTTTTGTGCTTGTAGGCAAAGTAGAAGTAATACGACCAGCGAATTTTAATCGTGGCGCCATCTGAGACTAGAGGATTCAGCACTAAACAGGACTTTTGCTTTAAAAGTATTGACAGTCTAATAGGCCGAGCAAAAATCAGTTAGTTGGGAAAACCCCCGCTCGTCGTATTACTTTTACTTTGCTTGCAGGCACTAAACTTGGATTGGTTTTCATTGCTTTCCTAGCCACACTGATGAGATCTGATAGATCGAAACGCGTCTGTGGATGGAAAAGCGAAGAAAATTTATCCAAAATTTTCACATCAGGAGAAAACTTGGTTTCCTTATTATGGATTTTCCCAACTAACTAATTTTTGGTCAGCCTATTAGATGATCAGTGCTTTTACAGCAAAAGTGCTGTTTAGTGCTGAATCCTAGTCTTAGATGGCGCAACGATCAAAATTCGCTCGTCGTAATACTAAATGTTATTGATACATACATTGAAGTTTTAATTGCATTTTAAACTGTTTATACAAATTAAGATTGTTAGGGAGCGATAAACTAAAAAAGGGAGATGTCACATGAAAAAAGTGGATGTTTCTACATCTCACTATAGTAAAGATCCGAATCGATTTGTAGAAACTTGAAGATATTTTCAAAATCCAAACCAATTTGAAGATTGAGGTGATTAAGAGTGAAAATTGAAGTGAGGGAAAAAGTTTATTTTAGTTTCAAGTGAAAATGCATGCACCTCAAACTTAAACACGCAATATTTTTTCATAGGTCAAAAAAAAAGCCAGGTAGGTAGTAAATCTTGAATCTTGAGCAAAAAAATAAATAAATTAAAAACACTGTTACTGGCACGCACATCGTGCAGTTTTCTATTGTAATCGCAAAAGGCTTTTTTTTTTCCAAAGTTTAATTACATACTTCTAAGCGCCTTTGTTTCCGGTACAACTACAAAAGCATGTATTGAACTTAATTTTTTCTTGCGAATGGTTTTTAATTATACAACAGAACAGTGTTACCTTTGTTTGGCTTTATATTTGAACATGCAAAAAAGTTAGAAAGCATATGAGTCGACCTAATTGTTGCAAGAAGGGTCTTTTGGCACGATTATCAAGCCTTAAGTGCAGTCATAACTTTTAGTAAATTCAACCAAAATTTAATGTAAAACTAAAACACGTAGGTAGTGTAAAATTGAAATTTACGATTGAGTAGGAAGCTTTTAGTATCCCAGGGAGACGTGTTACAGGTTACAGCTAACCAACCCGTAACTTTCCACTAAAACTGTTTTGGCATAGCGCAGAAAATATAAACAAAGTTTTGAATAAATAATCAACAAAAGTAGTCACTTACCCAGCATCTTGTGCCTCATGTGCTCTAATAATTGATAAGAGATTATTGTTTTGTAGGAATTCGCAACAGGCAGCATAGCTGAAAAAATATTCAAATTATTATTATGACAAAATAGATCAAGTGTTATTAACTAACCTGTAAAAATATGAGCAGCCTCTAACGGAATTGTGTGAAAAATGTTCCGCATTGTTTTCATTTCCAAAATCTTCTAAGGGATCCGACCATAGGAGATCGCACATGGGACCGAAGGCGGGTGGTTCTTTAAACCGATCTAGCTGTAACAGAAATTTTAATTCAATACATAAAAGAATAATGAGCCGTTTTTTGCCTCTACCAAATAAAATATAAATCAGCTTATGACTCCAAGCAAAAAAATGTTTTAGTAAAGAGTTAAAAATACAACAGTAGCCCAAGGAAATGGTTTGTTTTCAAGTTTTCAGCAAAATACAAAAAAAGTCCTTTTTTCCCCTCTAGAGAAATACAAGGAAAGATGACGATAAAAGACAATAGGGACAGTTTTTTATGTGCATCAAAGCTTTCGCTGTGATGGCTGAAAATAAAATACCTACTGTACTTATTTCTCAAAAAGGATAGGTACATTTAATGTGTCCATTTTGAAGAATTTCTTCTCAAATCCAATTTAGGCCAACATTAAAATATCGAAGAGGAAGTAGAGAATATTGTGGAATTTACGATTGGAAATTTGCATTTGAATTCGAGCCTTAATGAAGGTTCTCCTATCGTTAACAAAGCGGCAAAGGATAATTAAACTGTGAATAAATTGAAAATTTTATCCACAACTGGATTTTAATCTAGTAAAAAGCCCATAAAATTGCGATTCTTCTGTATGGCGATTTTTTTCATCCTAAAATTTAACTCTTCACTTCACCCAATTGATTTTCCATGCAATCAAATATTTGTGCTGCATTAGTGCTTTACAAGATCCGCGGGTCGACAAAAGCCATTTGCCTGTTCCGTAGCTGGAAACTTGGAAAAGTGAGGAAGCAAATTAGATTTAAGTTATTAAGATTCGTATCCCAGAGATAGACGGTTCCAGAGCGCTATGGATTTAAGCAAATAATATAAATGAAGTTGGGTTGGGTAGGGTAGAGTGAATTTTAGTTTAAAAGTTCATTTGCTCAATTAGGTACATTGCATTTTGTTCAAGTCAATCTAGGTTTTATTAAAATTTATATTTTTTTGCAGGATTTTGAAATGAATATTTCCTAATAAAGACATTGATTCACATATCCAGATTAAATTACTACACACTACACAGGATAATTGGATGCTTGATTATGCGGTTCTGAACATGCAAAGAAATCAACCCTTCAATTTTTTATTCTTCTCTTCAAACCAGAAAGTTTTTTTTAATTCAAAAGTAACACGTGATCATTTTAATTTTTAATCACCATCAAATTTATCTCTTTCCTCTCTCGGCTCTTCGAACACGCACCTCTGCCGGAAAATTTAACCATTATTTATTGGTCGATGTTCAGTTGTTGCACACTGACACGTTTTCAAGTGTCTATTTATATGCATGCACCCAATCCAATTCATCCCCTCATCATTACGGTTTTCGATCGATAATGTCTATCCCAACTTGTCGCAATTAATCAGGTTTTTCTGTTTTAGATTTATCATTATTTTTCTCGGCAATAATCTGGGCCAACAGTTTTTTGACAATACTGTACGATTTCTGCATTAAATTTTATTTTAATTAGAAAAAAAAAAAGAGTCGATACAATTAAAACTCAGGAGATCAGGGCTGGAGCTGAACCTGAAATTGAGGTTACACTGTTTGAGATAAAGGAGAGAAAGAGCGCCGAGCAACCATCGTCCTCTTTTTTGGGGTGGACGAATTAGCTAAGGATCAAGCGGATACGAAAATGAGTGATAATAAAGAAACAATTAAGGAGCTCTACAGAAAAATGAACTTAACCTTGCCTGATACTGCTAAGGTATATAGATTAGGAAATGACCCATAAAAGTGATTCGACCAAGCAGATCTGAAGCGATAAAAGCACTTCACTTCTTGAGCAAAATGTTCCCGAGGTATATATTAAAGGGAATCAAACTGAAAATCAACGAAAATATTTAAAACAAATAATTTGCGATTTAGAAAAACAAAAGAGTGAAGGGAAAGTAAATCTCATTGTGAAATATGTTAATGGGATTCCCAAAATTGTTGAAAAGAGTGAAAAAAAACTAAATAAGACAGAGGTAGTTGAGATCTCATTTTGGTATAGTAACATGACCTCAGTAGTAAATAAGATTGACGAGTAGTGGAAAGTGAGGGTGCTAGCTACATGTCCAACAGTAATTATGCTATCAGAAACTTGGCTCAGAGATGACATAGATGACAGATTAATATGTCTAAATGGCTACACAATTGTTTTGAGAGGATCGTGCTCATCGAAGAGGTGGAGGAGCATGTATTCTCGGTAATGAGTTAGATGGGCACAAAATAAATTCCAGCGTGTCCCAAAACTTTCGCGTGGACTCAGTATGGCTTGAACTACAAGTAAGCAAAATAAAAATTAATATCGCATGTATTTACAGGCCAGGAACTACTACTGAAGAAGTGAATAGTCAGATGATTGATTCAATAGCCAATGCATTCAAATTTAAAAATCCAACTTTTATGTTTGGAGATCTCAACTACCCCAACATCAACTGGAATACCCTATTGGTATCTCCCACAGACAAGAAAACCCAAGATTTTTTAGACATGTACCAGGAGGGTCACATGCATCAAATGATTAACTTTTCAACAAGATTCAGAAACAACCAAAGCTCTCTGTTAGACCTATTCTTGTGTAGTGATCGAAAAAGTATTTTTGACCTGACATCAGAGCCACCAATCGGGCGCAGAGATCATGTTATCATTACAGCAAAAGCTCATTTAAAACTACCACCAAAAAGTGCTGCGGAGGAACTACCACACTGTGAAATATGAAGACATTAATAATTTCATCAGAAATCAACCAAATGATTTAGGGCAGACAAAATTTGAGAGTTTTGAGTTGGTATTGAACAACGCAGTACAAAAATACATTCCTCTTAGATTTGTAAAAGTAAATCAGCAAAAACCATGGATAAGTCAAGCACTTTTCAAAGAAATAGGCAAAAAACGCAAATTGTGGGACAGGTACAAAGGAAATAAGACAGATGAAAACTACCAAGCGTACATGAACCAAAACAACATACCTAAAAGGAATTTAGACAGAGCTAGAAAAGTATATGAACACAACTTGGTAACATCAGAATCTTCGAAACAAATCTACAAGTATGTTAGTCGAAATTTAAATTCTAAGGTGACGACAATAACATTAAAAGACCATCATGCTTCGCAGGAAGTTTTGGATCCTAAATGGATGGCAGAGGAATTCGCTAAGCAGCTCAACAAGTCCTTCACACCACAGGATGACACTCTTCCCCCAAAATTGCCAGCAAACACTAGAGTGCAGAACACTGTCGATTCGGTGCACTTCACTGAGGAAAAGATCATGGAAGCGCTCAAGAGCATGGAAAAACAATCTAGTCCAGGACCAGATGGCATACCAACAGTTTTGCTTCAGAAATGTAATACTAGGGTTGGTTCTCATCTAGCAGAGGTTATGCAGGAGTGCTTAATAGCAGAGAGAATTCCAGAACGATGGAAATTGTCAATAGTTACGCCGCTATTCAAAAGAGGTAACAGACACAAGCCAGAAAACTACAGGCCCATCAGTTTTACATGCAATCCACTTAAGTGTATGGAAAAAATACTAGTCAAAGAGCTTACAACATTCTTCTTCGAAAACAATCCGATACCAGCATGGATTTTTGCCGAAGCGCTCCACTGCAACTAACCTACTCGAATGTTCAAATGATTGGACTAAAAACCATGACAACTCTCATCCCACAGATGTCATTTATCTGGATTACGAGAAGGCCTTTGACAAGGTGCCACATAAGTTGTTGCTTGCGAAGTTGGAGCACTTTGGAGTGCGAGGGCAATTATTAGGATTGATCAAAGATTTACTTAGTGAAAGGTACTACCAAGTACGAGTAAACGGAGCAATGTCGAACAACCACCTGGTTAGCAGCGGAGTTGTCCAGGGTTCTGTGCTGGGTCCACTGTTATTTACAGCCTACTTGTTTAATTTTGTGGATCTAGTTGAAACAAACGTGAAAAAATTTTGCTGATGATGCCAAACTTTACGCCAACCCGAATCTGAGCGCAGCAGTATTGCAAGAGGATTTAGGGAGAGTCGAGAGGTGGGCAAATGTGTGGGGAATGAAGCTGAATTACTCCAAATGTACAGTGCTCAGAATTGGTCCAAACAATCCCAACAAGGAAAATATTTTAAACAATACAGTACTGTCAACAGTAACAGAGCAAAACGACCTTGGAGTGACAGTCACATCCGACTTAAAATGGGAAAGCCGTATTGTAAAAATCTCTAAAAAAGCCAACTCTTTTGTACATTTAATCAAGCGCGCCTTCAAAGATCACTCAATTGAGATGGTAGGAAAGTTGTACAAAAGCTATGTAAGACCGAAGCTGGAATATGCATACACAGTTTGGAATCCCTACTATATAAAAGACATAGAACTACTGGAGAAAATACAAAGGGCTGTGACCAGAATTTCACCAGAATTACAAAATATGACCTACATTGAGAGATTGGAGAGACTGCAACTAACAACACTGAGAGAAAGAAGACACAGAGGAGAATTAATAGAAACATTTAAAATATTAAGTGGACATTACACCTGCAATATTGCACTGCGAGGTTACTCGAAAAAACTAAACAAGGAAAAGACATGTAAGCTCCGGAGAAAAAACTTTCTTTCAAATCGCGTAGTCTTTTCTCGGAATGCGTTAGCAGAAGATACAGTGTCAGCCCCCAGTTTAAACGCATTTAAAAATCGGTTGGATAGAGTTAAAACAAAGTGCATCGAGAATGATACATTACAGTGCCTAAAAAATAAACAGTAACTCTAATAAAACAGACAGTAGCTTCATCGGTTTCATTAACCCCCTGCTATTGGAACTTTACATGATTACATGATTAATTTTATCTAATAAGGTATTTTCAATGACGGTATTCTGCAATAACTCCGAACACTGTTGCAGGTCTACTGATTTATCAGTAGATCTACTAATTTGGCTATTGATCTACTGATATACTGATATTAATGTTCATTCATTAATATGTTGTTTAATTATGATGTTAACCTAACTCACTCAAATATCATTAGTTTAAAAATTACATGTTTCAGGTAAATGTCTTAGTTTGACAGTTCAACAGTATATTGGTTAGTAGATGGCTGCGGAACTCGCTGCGCTCGTCCCGCAGAGGTCCACCCATAAGTTCCGTAATAATTCACTTATTTGTACTTGGACAATAACTTATTATATTAAGTCAAAATTTGTAAGAATATGATTATTCACTTTTTGTCAATTCGCCATTCAACAGGAGTTAGTAATGTTACTTCAAACTAGTAATCCTCTGCGGGACGAGCGCAGCGAGTTCCGCAGCCATCTATTCATCAATATGTTGTTTAATTACGATATTAACCTGACTCACTCAAATGTGAGTTATTCTCATTAGTTTAAAAACCACATGTTTCAGGTGAATGTCTTACTTGAACAGTTCAACAGTATATTGGTAAGTAAATGGCTGCGGGACGAACGCAGCGAGGTCCACCCATAAGTTTTACGATAGTCCACTTATTTTTACTTGAACAATAACTTATTACATAAAATCAGAATTTGTTAGATTATGATTATTCACTTTTTGTCAATTCACCTTTCAACAAGAATTAGTAATGTTACTTTACCAAACTAGTAATATATTGCGACAAGTAGTTATTCAAGCCAAGTACAAACGAGTGGATTGTTGCAGAACTTATGGGTGGACCCAGCCATGTATTCACCAATATGTTGTTCAAGTACAATACTAACCTGGTTCACTCAGTGTTTTTTTTGAACAGTTCAACAGTATATTGGTGAGTAGATGACTGATGAGGTTCACCCATAAGTTCCGCAATAATCTACTTATTTGTACAAGGTGTTTTTTTTAATATATCGACCTACCTCCTTTACCTTTACAGGTAGAAAAAAGGTGTATATACAAAAGTTGTACAGTTTTGGCTGAATTTTTAGAAATCATGGTCAAAAACAAAATTTGAATGTCAGAAATGTGAAATTTTGCATGCTTCCAGCGTTTTTCAAATGGGATGCCCTATATTTCATTCTTTATTCTTGAAGAGCACAATGCCCCGATTCCAAAAATATATAGGTAGTTTGTCTATATTTGATTGAACAGTCTCTCATATATTCGGCTCCAAAAATTGTAAAAATACTATCCTACTACTGATTTTAAGAACCATTCCACTTGTATAGGTACTTGGTTTCTCTGATAGTGTTTTCTTCAAGAATATAGAACCAAATATAAGGCATCCTATAGGTAGTGCATATTTAATAGGAATATTTCATGTGTCAACTATTTCTCATAAGTAATATTGGTGTTTGATTTTCTAATGCAAGTTTTCATAGTCTAAAACCCAGTATAATGATTTAATGATTTGAAAAAACGTAGTTAGAATAACTAATTGAGTATACCCTCCTAATGGTTTACCCCTGCTTTAACAAGGCAACTTATCAGTCTACTGATATTTAGATTGGTAATCTACTGACAAAACAAAATATGACCTGGCGACACCGACTCCGAAAATACTATGAATTAACCGAAGTTTTAGCTTGAAATAGGCCATATTATCATATGAAAGTTAACTGGCTTACCTTTCGTATATCGTCTAGATTGTGAATTTCTGGAGAAAGACCACCATGTACACAAAGGAACTGTTGGTTCATGAGCGCCGCTAGGGGCAGACAGTCGAAGGCCTCCATGCACGCATCATAGACTCGTTCCGAATATTTTATTTTACCTTAAAAATAATAAGTTGATTTCAGAAATGGAAATACAAGTTATTTGGTATCCAATTTTATCAGCTAAAGAGAATTTTTATTCTACTTTTATATTACAAGTAAAAGATTCAGACATTATTATACGTTGAATTGTTCTCGAGTTTTCTTTGATGTAACAGATTTCGTTTGATACAGGAACCTTTTGTCAAAAAACGGTCGCGATTAGGCTTTACTACTGGGAATAGAATAAGAATTCAAAGAATAGTGGTTTCTTGTAATTTAAAATTATGAATGTCTTGTTACAAATTCAATTTACTCTCCTCAGTAATAAATAATCCTCCATCCAATTACATGGCCTTTTGAAATAGTGTCGGGCCCTCTGCCATTATGTATCCTTATAGCTAATGAATGTGTCTCGCTTCTGGCCATTGATTTATTGCATTGCAAGCGAAAACATTTGCCATCCATTCATCTTTATTTTTATTTTCTCAACAAATCAGGCTACAATTCACATAAAATTCTAATTCTTTCACCGCTTCATAAAGATGATATTCAATCAAATAGAGGATAATTTCTACTTAGGATTACATTATAGATCTTGCTATCTGTATCTCAAAGTCCCTTGATTATTTTCTTTTGAAACTCGATAATCAATCGATTTAAGGCCGCATAAGTTTAGAATTTACTAAACTTCTAACCAAATATCCGCAGTGTAAAGCTCGTTAATTAGAAACTTTAGTAAATTTACTAATTGGCATCAGGCTGATAGCAAATAGAACCTTAATAACAAACTAAATACTATAATTATAATTACATACTTACATTCTTGTTTAAAAGTGAAATATTCTGTTAAATGCCGACACTCGTGGTTCCCTCGAAGAAGGTATAATGTGGTCGGATAACACAGCTTTAATGCCCACAGATACAACACACACTGTTAACAAGAAAAAAATGTGTGTACAAAATAAAAAAAATTGGACTTTACTCACCTCTATACTAAAATATCCTCTATCCACATAATCACCAAGAAAAAGGTACTTTGTACTGGCGGGTGGACCGCCCACTTCGAATAATTTCATAAGGTCATAAAACTGACCATGTATATCTCCACATACTGAAATGAAGACAAAAATAAGGAATTAATTATAAATACAAACTAGGATATTATGCAGTAAAACCCTATGTTATCATTATACTAATAATTATTCTACTTTCAAATGGTAAATATAAGCGTACGCCTCTGTCAAAACTCATAATAATGGTGACTAAGCGGTACTACACTGGATAGTACCACCAATCCGCCTACGTAAATGCTGCATCAGTAGTTATTTCTTATAAATACAGCGTACAGAGCTTCTCGAGCTCATTCGATTATTTTTTAGCCAGACTATAGTAATTAGAGTTCATTTGTTATCGACTTTTACGTCGCAGCAATTTGATCCACATATTTTCTTTTGTCACCATTGTATTTTAATTAAACGTTCCATCGACTAATCCTGATACCTATTCCTGAGTATTGAAACCTATCATTTTCGAACAGATGAGATAACTACAGAGGTAGAAACTTTATACCGGATTTTGATTTTAGATTTATATATTCTTTGTACTGTAAGATATTGATTTTGATAAGGTTTGGCCGAACATAGATGTTTGCTTAACATAGAACTTTATTTAGGTACTTGGGTGCTCCTGTAATTTCATGCTACCTGCTACCTGTCATTAGCAGTTGTCATAGTTGATTGTTAGATTTTAGATTTTTTTAATAAATGATCTCCATTTCTAATAGTTACAACTTAATAATAAATACATTACATGTACCATTAATGATTATTGAATAAATTGAATTGAATCAAAGAGCACTTCTCAATTCAATTTTCAATCCTCCTACATTTGTTTGAGAAAAATTGGAATCTTTAAGAACATTGTAAAACGTTCCAGAACACTTTAGAACCAATTTAGAATGCGGAAGACATTCTAGAACAGACCAGAACACTTTCTAAACTAGAACTACCAAAGAGCACATTTGGGAAATTTCTGACAACTTTTAGAACATTCGGGCGCTTCAAGAACAGCAAGCAACCAGTTGAAAACTTCAGAAAGCATTTTGAAAAGCTTCAGAATGGGCTTGTGCCAATTTGGTACTTAGGAACTTTCAAGAACACTGTAAACGCTACAAAACGCTTGAAATACTTTAAAGTTCATTGGATTGGATCAGTGTTGGTCACAGTTAATCAATTGTGTAATAACTCGTTTTAAGTATCCAAATCTCTTTCGCTTTCGCCTCATCCCGGAATATAGCTTCTATTATGTATCCAACATTTATTAGGTCTTAGATGAAATTTGAAAGGGGTTTTCCCAACCGTCGGGAATGAAATCCTACTCGGATGAGCCCAAAAGAAACTTAATACCGGAGAAGTTATTTTATGTGCACGTCACAGTTAGGCGTAAAAACGAGCAAATTACTTTTTCCTTTCCACTTGAACTTGAAAATCGATTCCTCCAGCCATTGCTATATTATCTAGGCATATACGAAACAGTGGCAAATCTTTTATTGGATTGTGACTAAGTTGATCCTATATCTAGATACGCGTTAACAAATAATAGAAACTTGTTTTATAAATAAAACGTTAAAATAGATTTTCGAAGAGAACAGAGGATTGGATTGCGATGATAATTGAAAATCAATGTGAGGAAGATGGGAGTTTAATATTATTACCGAAGTGATGATGAAACTGTAATAGCTAATCAAGTATAATAGATGCCTAATTAATTTGGCTTGTTTTCGTTCGCTCGCTTAAGGTTTCATTTTACTACACACGGCTGGCTCTGGCTACCCACGATTTTCTAAAATACTAGGGCTTCATTTTTGCATAGAGGTCAATTCAAATAAAAGGCAATTTTACAGTTTCGTGCCACTATTATTGATGAAAGCAATAATCAGTCTAGTTTGCAAGTTCTATAAGTAATTTTGCTGTCAAAATAGAATAAAATATTTGAGTTTATAGTGCAAACCCAAAATGGAATTACCTCAACACGTCAGGAATTAGCATTTAAATAACTTTCTTTTAATTTGAGGGACATGCTTAAATGAATATCCTAATTACCAGGAATGATTTGAGAAATAAAGTCAAACGAATAACGTTTTATTTTAGAATTTGTCTTTAAAAAAATCCATGTTGATTTTGCCAGAGTTTTGTTGTTGTTGTTTTTGACTAGGAATTTCAGGCGTTTTCAAAACCAAGCAACATTTTAGTGGTAGAGCAGCAAACAAAATGTCGTATTTTTAAAATTTGAGTTGGCAAAGCGACGAATTACGAGTGGTGGTAACAAATGCTCTTTTTAACTATCAGCGATGTGTGTGGACTAAAGGGATTAAAATGTTTATGTATGTTGCTGGTGAATTATCATACAAGCGGGAATTGCAATGTACGCCTACATGTTGTGTGATGCCGATTAGAATTATCAGAGATTCAAATCTACTAATTAATGGATTGAGTGGTAGGAATAAATCCAAAGTATAATGCATTCAAGCAACAATTCTATTATTATTGAAAGTTCTAATAATCGAGGCGTTATTAATAGACCCTCGCACTCGTGTGAAGTGCATTAAATTTTGATGTGACACAAAAACAAAACACTGACGGAAACGATGCCAAAATTTTCGATTATAAGTTTTTCTGCACTAAAAAAAATGTTGACTAGTCGCAACATTTGTAAGAGGCTTTATAAATACAGTAGAGTCCCGATTATCTGAGTCGCAATTATCAGTCTAAAGACCCAAAAATCCTGATTATCCGAAGTACGCAAGTCCATATTCCGAGTTTCTAAACTATACAGAGGGTATACACCCAATCTACAGCCTTTACCTTTACAGGTTCATAATTCATATTGTTGTAGAATTAGGTGTGATTTGTGATCAATGCCATTATGGCTGCGCTGTACTTTTCTGTATGTACTGATCAATAAATTGAATTGAATTGAATTGAGGTAGAAGAAAGGTGTAAATACAAAAGTTGTACAGTTTTGGCTGAATTTTTAGAAACCACGGTCAGAAACAAAATTTGAATGTCAGAAATGTGAAATTTTAAGTACAAACGAGTGGATTGTTGCGGAACTTATGGGTGGACCTCTGCGGGACGAGCGCAGCGAGTTCCGCAGCCATCTATTCATCAATATGTTGTTTAATTACGATAATAACCTGACTCACTCAAATGTGAGTTATTCTCATTCGTTTAAAAAGTACACGTTTCAGATGAGTATCTTTTTTGAACAGTTCAACAGTATCTTGGTGACTAGATGGCTGCGGAACTCGCTGCGCTCGTCCCGCAGAGGTCCACCCATAAGTTCTGCAATAATCCACTTATTTGTACTTGAACAATAACTTATATAAAGTCAAAATTTGTAAGATTATCCACTTTTTGTCAATATGCCTTTCAACAAAAATTAGTAATGTTACTTTACCAAACTAGTAATAATGTGACAAGTTATTCAAGTACAAACGAGTGGATTGTTGCGGAACTTATAGGTGGACCTCTGCGGGACGAGCGCAGCGAGTTCCGCAGCCATCTATTCATCAATATGTTGTTTATTTAGGATAATAACCTGACTCACTCAAATGTGAGTTATTCTTATTAGTTTAAAAAGTACACGTTTCAGAGGTGAGTGTCTTATTTGAACAGTTCAACAGTATATTGGTGAGTAGAGGGCTGCAGAACTCGCTGCGCTCGTCCCGCAGAGGTCCACCCATAAATTATGCAACAATCCACTTACTTGTACTTTGAACAATAACTCATTATATAAAGGCAAAATTTGTAAGATTATCCACTTTTTGTCAATTTGCCTTTTAACAGGAATTAGTAATGTTATTTTACCAAACTAGTAATATATTGTGACAAGTTATTCAAGTACAAACGAGTGGATTGTTGTGGAACTTATGGGTGGACCCAGCCATCTATTCACCAATATGTTGTTCAAGTACAATACTAACCTGACTACCCAAATGTCAGTTATTCTCATTAGTTCAAAAGCTACACGTTTCAGGTGAGTGTCTTATTTGAACAGTTCAACAATATGCGGAACTTGTGCGTGGATTTTCAAGCCAATCAATTCAAAATTGGAAAAGATATCTGTGATTTTGGCAAACATTGAAAGGGAAAAAATGCATTATGAGATATTTGAATTTTTATTTCAAAATTCGATAATGATGAAAATTTGAAACTTCTGGGGTTTATAGAAGAAGGTTAGGAGGATCTTTTAGCAAAATTTCAAGCCGATCGATTCAAAATTAAGAAAGATCCCAAAAATTAATTTTCTGAAACATTCAAATGCAAAAAATCCATTGTGAGACATTTGAATTTTTATCTCAAAATCCGATAATGATAAAAAATTTGAAACTTTTACAGCTCTATGCAACATCCTCTTTTAACTTAAAAGCGCTTTTTAAAACTGGTCACTTTAAAAATGTCTATTCTAAGCCATACAAATTTTCAAAGGTACCAGTTTTGAAAAGCACTTGTAAGTTAAAAGAGGATGTTGCTTAGAGTTTATAGTAAAAGGTTAAAAGGATTTTTTACCAAAGTTTCAAGCCGATTGATTCAAAATTGGAAAAGATCCCAAAAATCAACTTTGGTAAACATTCAAAGGAAAGAAATGCATTGTGAGTGTGAGAAATTTGAATTTTCATCTTAAAATCCGATAATGATGAAAATTTGATACTTTTGGAGTTCATGGAAGAAGGTTGAAAGGATCTTTTAGCAAAATTTCAAGCCGATCAATTCAAAGGTGCAAAAGATCCCTAAAATCAAGTTTGGCAAACATAAGGAAAAACATGCATTATGAGACATATTAATTTTCATCTCAAAATCCGATAATGATAAAAATTTGAAACTTTCGGGGTTTATTGAAAAATGTTTAAAGCATTTTTTACCAAAATTTCAAGCCGATCGATTCAAAACTGAGAAAGATGATCTACTTATTTGTAATGCTTCCAGCTTTTTTCAAATGGGACGCCCTATATTTTTTTCTATATTCTTGAATAGCACAATGCTCCGATCTATATTTGATTGAGCAATATCTCATATATTCGGCTCCAAAAATTGTGAAAATACTATCCTA